GTGATATGTATTTTGTTAAGTTGTAGGTCTTTTTCTTCAACTGTTGGTCACAGACTGACTGCAGCGTATGTAAATCCATCACATGTTCAGACGATGTTTATCAGAGCGCTTTAAGTTATCTGAAATTTCATCTTTAAAAGGCTACTCAAAAATCTTCCACAGTCCCACAATATCAAGATAGTCTACCTAAGCTTGAAATATTCTTCATTATTTCAGAATAAGTTGCGAATTTCTTTAACTGAGAGACAGCTAAACGACAGCACATTGTTATTTCAAAAGAAAACGAAACTTCTCTATCAGCATGTTGTATCGAATATTTCTCTTTAGAGAATATGACAGCTGAGAGACCAAAAACTCTTTCCAAGTTCACTAATGTAATGTTCCATTACCTTGTGTGTATAGGTGTGTTGTGACATTTTTTAGCATTTAAGCAGTGAATTTAGCTCCCGTTAACTCGAACAATGGAGATATATATTACTCACTAAGGTGTCCAGTTTGTATTTTATTAATGTTATCCCACTGTACTGAACAAATATTCAGTAAGCCATCACTGAAAGCCTAATTTTTGTCTTCATGTATTCATCTATCATTTATAAATTAATGACCAGTGCTTAGATAATCCAGTTGGTGACACTATAAGTTCCAATTAGTAGTTCTTTATTACACATTTTAATCCTTTTTCATATAATGACTGACACAAACTATCTCAAATTTCAATCTTTTATTGAGTACCTAACATTTTCATTACTATTCAATCAAATCTTAATCATAGTTGGTTAGAAAGTTTACATTATATAGTGTAGATTTTAAATAACCTAATGTAATTTCATCATAATCTGCTTAATGTAAGTTGGGAGTAGCAATATGTTGCGATACAAATACTAGTCAGCTATCTTCTACTATTTTTAAGAGTTAACTCTCTAGCTACAATAAATTCCCCGTAAAAACGGCTTCTTTTCACAACCTATTTAAAGTTTCTGTCAGACAAGTGGTCTTACTATGTTTTGTAGACTAACAATACAGTTTTTAAGTTTTAAAATAAAAAAAATATCTAAAGAAACTGAAGCAGTTGTCATGGGATCAGCAATATCCCTTATCGTCGTAAATATATTTATATGTGTGATCTCATGTTATGAACATTTAGTCCTACTCCAAAGATATGGTTCCGACATGTAAATGATACGTTTACAGTACTGTAATCGGAAGACATCAACAGGTTCTTGACACATATACATCCAGAAGTGAATGTAATCCAATTCACCTGTGACTTGGAAAGTGATGAAGGTGACGTAGCAATGTTGGATTATCAAATTAAATGAAAACAAGATGGAAGTCTAGAGACTAGTTTGTATAAGAAACTGTCTCATTCCAATCGCTACTTGGACTTCAAATCCTCCCATCTCGTTTCAGTTAAAGTAGGCCTAGTTAAATGCCTAAGTGATAGGATGAAAAAGCTTACTAGAAGACCAGAAAATCGATGAGCAAAAATTAGACACATCAAGAATACCCTACATCTCAGTAATTACCCACCGAAATCTATAAATAAATTTTTACGAAATCGACAGAAAGACATTAGTAGTGGTAGTAGTAGAAGTACAGGTGTAATTAATAATAATTCTACTACTGACAGTAGTAATGGTAACAGAGTTGAGAGAGAATTCAAAGCCTCCATTGTACTAGCATGCAAGGAAGGCACCTCAGAAGCATTATGAAAAATTCCCAATAAGGCTGGTTGGTATTAAAGTGGCTGGTATTTCTACCAAAAAACTCACTCAGAAACAAGCTTTGTAGGTCCTGTTGATGTTATCTAGCAAAATAATTTGGTTTACCAAATCCCTTTCAATGATTCTGAAGTCAAATTAGTCGATTAGAATGACAAAGCACAGAAACTTAGCTGAATCAAGATTAGTAGATTGCAATAAGGTAAAGAATTTAGAGGAAAGCTGGGCTACAGCTCTGCACACAGTTACGCACAGTAGGGTTGGATAAAGCGGCTGTGTTAAAAACTAATTTTGTTAGGTGGGTGGATGGAGGTACAGATTGATAACTGACTGAATCTTTGTTCATCGAATCAACATGAAATACATGCAATAACAGGAATAACTCTGTACTTATTCCAGATATATGAAAAATTCTATTACCCTTGTCATCACAGAGAACGAGAGAAAGTTAAGAGTATATAAACTCTGTCGTAAAGTTGTTGGTTTTTCATTCAACCTCAGATGATTGTGTCCAATGGTATTAGTGTAAGTTATTTTTGATGTATGAAGATTTCAGACTATCAAAATTCTTATACTTTGATTGGAATTTCTAACTTAATGGTGATAAGCTCCCATCTCGTTCGTTATCGGTTATTAGTGTATGTGTATTCCGATTTATTTTAACTACTTGGTGAATGTCTTTATCCGCTTATAATCTTAGCTGATATAAAAAAATAACTGATATTTCAACCTTCTTTCTAGCATTAGTGAAGGCAGTTTTACAAGTTTACCTGTTTTTTAGTTAGGTGCGTTATTCAAGTTAAAAAGTTATTCAGTAATGCTTATTGTGGTTTGAGTGGTTATATCTCAGTTACTGATTGAATATCAGAAATAACCCTAGGAGATAGTCTTCAATTTCAATCCCTAAAGGCGTATATATCATATTTAATGCTGACTTATTCATTACAGTAGGCCAACGAGATTTCTAATTAACTCCTTGTACAGTTCAGTTCATGATTAAACAATCCAGCTCAGAGAACACAATACAACCAAGACCGTCCACCTGAGCTACAAATATTCTCCATTACAATTCAGACTTTCAGTAAAAGCATTAACTGATGAAGTTCAACTCCAAGGAACGTTTCTTTAAAAGCTCTCTCACTAACTAACTAACAATACATTTTTCAGTTAGTTCTCTTTACTACTGTTATGCATTCACACTATTACTTAATGTTCTTATTGATAAAGTAGATCATACTCATTGACTTGTGGGTTAATCAATTTTTATATCAGAGACTCTCTAGAGCCATTCAAAGGACCTTCTACGCTGCACAACTTTGTCGATCATTTTCCAGTCGACCAATTGTTACTGCTCAGACAAAAGATAAGTTATCTAGTTTTGCCATTTCTATGTCTACTTACAAATTTAGCTGCTTCTGTGAAGAAAGCTCTAAAGAGCGTACTACTAGACAACTTAACAAACGTGTTGATGAGCATCTACCTTCATAGTTGGCAAAGAGACGGACAGAATCCATCGGAAGTTCGATTTTATCTCACCTCGTTGATAGTGGTCACTTAGTAGATAAGAACATTGCTTTCACGATTATTCACCGCATACCATCTCATCTTTCGAAAGGTATTCAAACTCGTCTTCTACACATAGTAGAAGCTATGGGAATTCCAGCTAATAATCCTAGTCTTTGTATCCATACGAAATTTGTAAACCCCTTATCTCTCCCTTGGCCAAGGAATACTTAGTTAATGACTTCACCATTCAGTTTTTCCCCCCTACCTGTTTTCTTACTCTTCACACCCTTCATATACTTACTGTGTTTGTCTAGGCTTTGTTGATCCAGTTATCTGGTCCTTCAGTATTACGTAACTGTTATTTTCCCAAGGCAGTTTCTGACTCTGATTATCGGAGTGTCTACATTTTCATGCTGCTTTCTTGGTTCTTATCACCATTATCATCATCTATATTGGAAGTGCTTTAGTCAACGTTATTATTATTATTATTTGTCTCTTGGTTTCCTAGTGGAACATAGGGCTTCAGTAGCACGTCTCCATTCCACTCTCTTCTCTGCAATCCTTTGAACCTGGCTCTACGACTGCCCACAAGCTCTCGTTTCTTTCTCACATGATCTCCTCCATGTCACCCTCAGCTAGGACGCCCAACTCGTCGCTCCCCCTTCGGATTCCACTCGACGGCCTAGCGCGTCATGTCCCCCAATGGTCTCCTCACTGCATGCCCAATCCATCTCCACATCCTTCCAGTGCATATTTGTTGAACGATAGGTTCTTGGTTGGTCCGTTGCCAGCCAGCCAGCCAGAGTTCCTTATTATTATTATTATTACTTCTGGCCATCTCGCCCTCAGTATCGAGCAAGCATAGGCAGTTGTTGATGAATGTCTGTAGTTTGTTGGAAATCCCTTTCGTAACGCGCATTGGTGTTGAAAATCCGAATGTTGTTCACGCTTTCTGCTGAGTGCAGTGCAGTGCAGAAGATCTCCACACTGCTTTCAGGCTAGTGAACACCTGTCTTGCTTTTCCGATTCTGACTTTGACATCTTCGTCTGTGCTGTCACCTGTAGTTGAAACGGTGCTGCCTAGATAGATGGAGGCTGCTTTCTTTAAGTTTTTCCCGTTGATGGTGATTGGAGTTTATTGTTTTTGTTGGTGTTGTTGGTTGGGTATCTCCATCACCTATGTCTTCTCTATATTCACTCTTCTCGCTCCTCACTGATTAATGGATGATCCACTCCACTTGAGTCGACCACAATCAGGAGTATCATGGGTGATAGTAGACAGCCTTGTTTTACTCCTGTCTTCACTTCAGAAGCATCACTGAGCTTCCCATTGTGAATCACTTGGCATGTGGCATCTTCATATATTTGTTGAATAAGATTGATAAAGGCTTGTGGTATTCCGTAGTGTTGAAGCAGCTGCCTGCCAAATTACTTGTTGGTCGCCGCTGTCGAAGGCCTTTTCAAAATCGATGAAGTTGAGGTCGAGTTGAATTGACTGCCATTCCATACTGTGTTCAATGATGATGCGCAGTGTTGCGATTTGATCCTGAATCCATCCTGTTCGGGTTATCATTTTTACCATTATTATTATTGTCAGCATCGTTACGTTTTAAAACATTTATCACATTAACTGAAAAATCTACATGATTGATTAAGCTATTTGTATTAGAGTAAGTGGGAAGCCTGAAGAGGATCTAATTGAAAACAATATTGTTCACTAATATACGTCGTCTTGTTCTAATCAGTTTTTTGGTTTTTTTTCTTTTTATATAGGTAAAAAATGAACTTTATGAAAGTCAAATTAACAAAGCACAAAATGCTGTAAGTTATATGTCAAGCTTATTATTGAATGTTATATAATTTACATCAGTTTCTTTAAAGAATGTTTAGTTTATTGTCCTTAAACTGGTTATCTGATCAATGATGATGCACCTTTAAATGTTTCTAAATGTTTCAGAAAGTTAGCTAGCTATTCAACACACACTATGGAGTAATGGAGAATATTTGTAGCTCAGGTGGGGATGGTCTTGGTTGTATTGTGTTCTCTGAGCTGGCTGGATTGTTTAATCGTGAAGCTTTCATCGCCTTGCTAGACAGCGACATCATCAGCATTCACTTCAGTATGAAGTGAGGTGTCAATATCTCTCCGTGAGTGATTTAGTAGCTTGTTCTGACGATGTGGTCTCTGATTGGTTATTTCCTTCGATTGTTGTGACCTGATCTATCAACCAATAAGAAAAATGATAAACGACAGAAAGGTCAGAGGTATAGCCAGTAGGGTAATCTACACAATGACACAGCAATCAAAGGAAACAACCAATCACAAATTATTTGGTCAGGATGAGCTACTAAATCACTGACGGAGAGATATTGACAACTCACTTTATACTGAAGTTATTGCTGGTGATGTCACTGTCTAGCAAGACGATGAAAGCTTCTTCATGATTAAACAACCCAGCTTAGAAAACACAATACAACCAAGACACTATGAAGTCTAAGGTATATTGTCTGGAACATACAAACCTTTCTCAAGGGTTAGAGAACACATAGAAAATCATATAAGGCAACTTGTGCGCTGGCCACATGGTCTTTGTATACTTGAGGTAGTGTACTTGTTGTATGCGAGGTTCTACCTTTGATGTTGTCTTTGAATCAGTTGTAGTTATCAAAATATTATTCCTACTTTTATATATTTCAGCGGAGACCACGTCCAGCATCACTTCGTTCAGGTATCCCGGATCTACTGAGTTTACCATTACCTCTTCCTAATCCACTTGAATTCCTTAACAATTCAACACCTCCAACTGGTCTGTTCGCTAACCTACTACCATTTAATGAATTTCCAGTGACTACTTCTTCATCAGGACCGAAAGTTAGTCCAATACAAGGATTTCGTTTGGAAATTCGAAATCTTCAACCTTCGGTTACTTTAGATGATGTATTTGTAAGTTAAATGAAGAATCATTGTTTACCTTCATTTTGTTGTTGTTGTTGGGACCCGTTCTTTGCTATTATCAGCAGAAGTTATTATAGATTTCATTGTGTTATACGCTTAATTAGGTTATTTTTCTATTTATCACTAAAACGAATTTTCTAGGTGACGTTGAATTTCATTTCTTATCAGACAAATTCATCGTCATCTTAGATTATTGACTTGACAGCATTGTTTATGTAAGTAGTCATCATCATCATTATCAACATAGGACCAGGCATTACTGCGTAACGGTCCGAGTTGCCACACCTCACTTCAGTTCATCAAGTAGAAAGGTAGTGAGGCGCAAGGTGAAGATAAGAAAATTCAGCCAAGAGAAATATAAAGTACGAGAAGAAAGGAAAGGGGAGTGACAAAATGGTGAGATTCGGTATAGCGTTGTTAAGATGAGGATAATGCGTGTATACATCTGCGCCACTCACATCGATTCTGAACCATATCACCTAAGGTCTCCAACCACTGGTTCCTCTTGTCCCGCCGACCCCAACCACCTAGTCTGCATCGTCCTACATGGTTTAAACCAACAGTCATAGACTTCATACATTGGTGCCATGTTTTAGTCTGGCCACCTCGAGCCTTTTTCCAGCCTGCACCTACTTCGGCCAACATTGTGTGACGAGGCGATCGGTAACTAGGCATACGTAGTGCGTGTCCCAACCATCTCAGTCGATGAAGGTTCACAACTGTGTAAACCGACTTACCTCTTCTCCCTAAAACTCTACGCCTGAACCTGACGTCTGAGTTACTCATGTGGTGACACCACGAAATACGTCCTATACTGCGAAGGCAACGGTGGTCAAACACCTGAAGCCTTTTTGTATCCTCCACTTTCAGTGGCTATGTTTCACAGCCATACAGTAGAACAGAGCGGACTGCTGTGCAGTACACACGCGACCCTTAATAGACAAACGAATTTCACGGCGGGGCCATAGGTGGCGCAAATTGGCAAAAGCCAATCGAGCCTTTTGTATCCGTGCAGAAATCTCATCGGCAACTAACCCACCAGGGTTGATCCTACTTCCCAGGTAAGTGAAGTGGTCAACACACCCAACCACTTCACTCTCTATTGTTAGCCGCGGTGGGGCACCGCTGAAGACCAGTCCTGGAGCAAAAATTTGCATTTGGGTGGTGAAAATCGCATCCCAAACATTCTCAAATTCCCACTCAAAGTGTTCAGAAGACTCTGCATCTTGTCAGCGTCTTCACCTAACAGGATTATGTCATCTGCATATTCTAGATCTAAAGAAAATTCCCCTGTGATTGGGTCAACGTCTGTGTAATTAGGTGACGAGAGGGAAACCTCCATAAGAATATCTATGATAAAATTAAATAAGAATGGGGATAGTGGGCATCCTTGACGGACACCACTTGATGAGTATAGCTCCCTGGACAACTCGTCATAGGCTCTAATATGCCCACAAGTGTTCGAGTAGAGAGCTTTCAATAAGGTGATGTACTTACTAGGCACGCCTTTCAGTGACAGACATTGCCATAAGACTTCTCGATCCATGGAGTCAAATGCCGCCTACTTATGCAAATAGTAGATTAGTCGACTACTGCTTGTCTTTCAACTTGATAAGTAACTTCTTGATGTATTAATGAGTGTGTAGCCTTGCTAATAGGGCAAGAAAGCTTTTAGTAAAGTCTATTGTAAGCGCTGTTCTAATGACTAGTAAGAGATCTACGATACTGTCTGGATGAACAAATAGAAACGAGTGATTATGAAAGATCACTCCGCGAAACTTTTGACTTACACAGTGATAAAGCAAAATTGTCAGCTGCTCCCATTCAATTGTTGTGGAAGGTTGAACTGTAGGCAGTTGCATTCCAGCTGGTGATTCATAGTTTTCAACCTTGATCAGGAAGTTAGATAATCATCAGATAGGTGTGGCTTTACTACTCAGTGTATGAAAATTCGAGTGGTAGCTGAGATGGACCATTTAGTTTAGTTTATCAATAAATCAATCAGTATTAATGTGACACCTAGTATTACTTGTGTAACGTTCAAGGTTACTGCACTTCATGTCACCATATAAAGATGAAAAATGAAATTAGACGCCTATGAATATAACTGTAAAGACTTTGATATTGTGGTACAATTTAATTCCATATTCGATTTGTTTATTTGATTTATAAAACACACAGTGGTGATATAGTATTGGTCACTGGATGACGTTATGAGCATAAATTATTGCTCATAATCATATCAAGGATTCACTGCATTCAAAACTACAACCAGAACAGGCTGGATTCAGGAAGTATAAATCATTTACGGACCAAACTGCAACGCTTCGCATCATCATAGAAGAGATTATAGAACGGTAGTCAACCCTCTACCTCAACTTTATCTACTTTGAAAAGGCCTTTGACAGCGTCGACCGAGAGGTAATTTGGAAACTGCTTCAATACTATGGAATACCGCAAACCTTTATCAGCCTCATTCAACAACTTTATGGAGACGCCACATGCCAAGTAATTCACAATGGGAAGCTCAGTGATGCTTTTGAAGTGAATACAGGAGTAAAACAAAGCTGTCTACTATCACCCATGATACTCCTGATTATGGTCGACTCAAGTGGAGTGGATCATCCATTAATCAGTGAGGAGCGAGAAGAGTGAATATAGAGAAGATATAGGTGATGGAGATACCCAACCAACAACAATAAACTCCAATCACCATCAACGGGAAAAACTTAAAGGAAGTAGCCTCCTTCACCTATCTAGGCAGCACCGTTTCAACTACAGGCGACAGCACAGACGAGGATGTCAAAGTCAAAATCCGAAAAAGCAAGATAGGTGTTCATTAGCCTGAAAGCAGTGTGGAGATCTTCTGCACTGCACTGCACTGCTTTGCACTCAGCATAAAGCGTGAACAACATCCGGATTTTCAACACCAATGCCAGTCCAGTCAGTGCTTCTATATGGTTCAGGGACTTGGCGCGTTACGAAAGGGATTTCCAACAAACTACAGACATTCATCAACAACTGCCTATGCTTGCTCGATACTGAAGGTCAGATGGCCAGAAATAATCAGGTAGAAGGAACTCTGGCTGGCTGGCTGGCAATGAACCAACCAAGAACCTATCGCTGAACAAATATGCACTGGAAGGATGTGGAGATGGATTGGGCATGCAGTGAGGAGACCATTGGGGGACATGACGCGCTAGGCCGTCGAGTGGAATTCAAAGGGGAAGCGACGAGTTGGGCGTCCTAACTGAGGGTGACATGGAGGAGATCATGTGAGAAAGAAATGAGGGCTTGTTGGCAGTCGTAGAGCCAGGTTCAAAAGATTGCAGAGAAGAGAGTGGAATGGAGACGTGCTACTGAAGCCCTATGTTCCACTAGGAAACCAAGGAACAAATAAAATGAATAATAATAATTATAATATCAATGTAGTCGCACACAGCATTTTCGACTTTTGATTTTTATAGTCCTGTCACCTGATATTTCTTGCTTTTATTGGTAGTAAGATTTTTCATATCTCTGGTATGTATGGGTGTTGCATCATTCCTGTTCCACATGTGTTAGTTGATTCGATAAACAAAGATTCAGTAGTCAGTCTCTCTCTCTCTCTCCACCTAATTATTATGGACTTGAATACAGTGATTGCACCAGCAACCACCCTGTTGTGTGGTTGTGTGCTGTCTTCTAGATTACTGGTCCTACCAGGGTCTGTCATTCTGTATTTACCTAGATTTCTATGTTTCGCTATACCAAGTGACCCCGACCAGCTAGTCTGACCTATACACTTGACCTCACAGTCATGACATGGAATTTTTGTGTTTAAATGTCACCGTAATTCAAGGCTTGTTGAGGATCCTATGTAAAGTTTCTGATATACCTTCCTTATGGGGTAATACAATAGAGGCTGTGAACTCCCACTCGTGTTGTCGTTGTCATTCTTACTCGTGTTACTTTTATTATTTCCTCTATAGTTTATGAAAAAATTGGTACGAACACATAAAAGAAACGAAATGATAAGAGTAACACGAGTACGACCAATAACGACAACACGAGTAAGAAGGAGTTCACAGCCTCTATTGTGTTACCATATAAGGAAGGCACGTCAGAAACTTCACGTAAGATCCTCAACAAAACTGGAATTAGGCTGACATATAAACCTACAATCTCTCAGATAAGCTTTGTCGGCTTAAGCATTCGATGGATCCAATCTAGCAAAATAATCTTATCTATCAAATTCCATGTAATGACTTTGAGGTCAAGTACATAGGTCAAAGTAGCTGGTCGGGGTCAGTCAGAATAACCGAACATAGGAATGTAGCTGAATATAGAACGACAGACGCGAATAAAATCAATGCAATGAATCCATTGACATACAACAACACAATAGAGTGGGTGGGTTAAAAAACCACTGTACTCCAGTTCAATATAATTAGATGGAGGGAGAGAGGTTGATCACTGAATCTTTGTTCATCGAATCAACTAACACATGTGGAATAGGAATGATGCAACACCCCTACATACCAGAGATATGAAAAATTTTACTATCGATAAGAGCAAAGAATCTGAGTTGATAGAACTATTAAATCAGACGTCGAAAGTGATATGATTATGAGCAATAATATTTTATTGTTATTGCTTGTGTTACACAGTCACTGATTGGACCGAATTGATCAGTCTCTATTGGCATATGGGCTCCTGTGCGGATGCCTCGATATTGCCTGTGTTTTAACTATGTACGGTAATGATGGATAGTGGCTAGCAGCGGAATGCAGGATGCGCATTTCGTCCTATTTGGGACTCGTCAGCTGGATGTACCTGCCTCCCAATGAGTGATATTGTTCCCATCGGGATTCGGACTCGGGAGCGATCGCTTCAAATGCGAGAGCGTTTTCCACTACACCATCGAGCCACGATAGCCACTTCTTGTGCGACGGGCATACTTTTACTGTTATTGCTTGTATTACGCCGCCGTGGATTGGACCGAATTGATCCGTCTCTGTTAGCATATGGGCTCCTGTGCGGATGCCTCGATATTACCTGTGCTATTATGATAGTAATGATGGGTAATGAGATCCAGGATGCGCTAGCTACTGCCTATCATTACTATACACAATAATAATTTATGCTCGAAACATGGTCATCCAGTAAATAATACTATATATCACCACTGTTTGTGCTATGAATCGAATAAACCAATTGAAGGTACCGATGAATAGAACTTCAATACGGAAGGTTGTATACTCATGGCCATATCAGAGGATTTTTAGATAACGAATATATAGGTTCTTTGTATACGGGTACATTTAACACGCCAAGTTTGTACCTAATTGGACGATAGTTTATATTTAAACAAAACACTCCTAACATCTATCCAGTTACACATCTTTAAATGTTTACAAGTAAAGTATAACAGCTTGTACAAAGTTTTATTACATTATATCTCACCGAAACTGTTTACAGGGATCTATTTGTCAGCTTTCTAACCGGCTTCATTGCTATCATCTTGCAACTATTTCCAGTTAGTGTCTTCTCTTCCTGCCGATTGCTTCCAACCAACTAACATCTCATGTGCACCGCGATGCTGAGCTTCCTAGTTTGGTTGCTACATTGAAAATATGATCGATGGAATTCGACCTGCACTCACGACTAGATAACATGAAATTGGTTGCACTCCCGTGACCGATCAGTACATATAAGCCAGTCCTACAGGTCAGTTGCGGCCCGAAAAGCTCAGTGGTAAAGTCGCTGACTACAACACTGGGTGACACTAGGTCGAATCTCAGGCGGGACATCAGTTCCGTTGACGTTGCAGACACGCCTTGCTGACAAGTGCTGAAAATCAGCACGATACCTAGGTGAAGCAGGACTTTCTGCCGATTGCCTCCAACCAACTAACATTTACTAATGTGCACCGCGATGCTCAGCTTCCTAGCTTGGTTGCCATATTGCAAATATGATCGATAGAATTCGATCTGCACTCACGACTAGACAACATGAAATTGGTTGCACTCCCGTGACCAATCAATACATCTTCTCTTATCACTTTGAAGTGTATTTTACGCGTTTATAAGATGTAAAGTTGATTAGTATCAGGATTTGTTTTTGCAAGGAAATAAAAATGTTGGGATACTTTGGGTAATTCGCCTGTATAAACATTCTGTAGTGATGAGGATCAACCCAGCAGTCATCAAAAATTTTATACATAACAATTACACACTGTTTCGTGTTGTAACAGCTATTTAATATCTGATCCGTTCTCGCTTTCGAAGCATTCATCATCACTGAAATCAACATAGGACCAGGTATTACTGTGTAACGATATTTAAGGGATTTAACGGTTGGTCACTAAGATTGAAACAGTCAGCAATCAAACAGTTCATGACCAACCTATCTCTCAGGTTGCTGGGATCATTGTTTTCGATTAAGTTGGTGAAGAGATCTGAGAGTGAGTAGACCGTAACCTCAGAGAAACTGACGTTTTAGATGTCAATTTGTACTGTAATCAGAACTATACTTTAGAGACAATCTACTACATGGTTTTACCGCAGTCAAAATAGCAACTTAATTATGTTTGCATAGTGAGTGATGATTGAAGATAAAATGAAAATCCTGACTGCGATGGTATTCGGATCAGCGACCATTGGGTTCCCGGTCTGATGCTCTAACAACTGAACTACGAGGCTTGATTGCTGACCAGATTTCCCTGTCACCATGGGGTTTGCTCGACTACCGCTGGTTCGAATCCGACCGTGGTTCAAATTTTCATTTCACCTTCAATCATCATCTAGTATTCGCAGTACAAGTCTGCAACATCACGTCTGCTATCTTAGGTAGTCAAGCTGATAATCAATATGATGTCCCCCCCTTTTAAATTCAATTACCTTTCGATTGGTGGGATGAGAAGTCCTGACTGGGCAACCAATATGAATACAACCAAGTTGTAGTAACGCATCACAAATTCACATGGTAGTCAGGCAAAATCTTGTCAGTAGTCGAACCTTGTAGCTCACTTGTTAGAGTATCACGCCAGAAACCTGGTGGTCGCTGGTTCGAATCCAGACACTGTTCAAATTTCCATTTCACTTTCAATCATCACCTAGTATTAGTAATACAAGCCTGCTTAAACCATGGTTATCTCACTTAGATATAGATAGTCAAAGGATAACTTATTATGTTTATCTGCTATAAAAAAGTAGGAGAATATGAAGTAACATGTAATTGTGAAGAAGTTTCAGTTGAACAAGTCTTACTAAAGTGACCGATGCAACGCTTATTTGATAATACAAAGCGATGCAGTTGGATGCTTAATTGAACTTTTTGTTATCTTCCGATTGTCAATCACTAAGTGTTAAGAAACTTAACAGTGTGAACGGATGCTATATCATGCATAAATTTGGTTTCTTAGACGCTACAATTGGTTAGTTAAACTAGCGATATATCAGTGTAGAATAATTGACTTCCAGCCAAATGGTTCTTGAATTCGAACCTGTTTCATTTACCAGAAGTTTAGATAAATCGGTTCTGTATTGTAAGCCTTCTGATGGATAGCCAGTATACTCCAATACAGGATGACTTTCCCACCTCCGACACAGGCTTTGACATAGTCCTGTTAGGTGAAGACGCTGACAAGATGCAGAGTCTTCTGAACACTTTGAGTGGAAATTTGAGAATGTTTGGGATGCGATTTTCACCACCGAAATGCAAATTTTTGCTCCAGGACTGGTCTTCAGCGGTACCGCGGCTAACAATAGAGAGTGAAGTGGTTGAGTGTGTTGACCACTTCACTTACCTGGGAAGTAGGATCAACTCCGGTGGGTTAGTTGCCGCTGAGATTTCTGCACGGATACAAAAGGCTCGATTGGCTTTTGCCAATTTGCGCCACCTATGGCCCCGCCGTGAAATTCGTTTGTCTATTAAGGGTCGCGTGTACTGCACAGCAGTCCTCTCTGTTCTACTGTATGGCTGTGAAACATAGCCATTGAAGGTGGAGGATACAAAAAGGCTTCAGGTGTTTGACCACCGTTACCTTCGCAGTATAGGAGGTATTCCGTGGTGTCACCACATGAGTAACTCAGACGTCAGGTTCAGGCGTAGAGTTTTGGGGAGAAGAGGTAAGTCAGTTGACGAGGTTGTGAACCTTCATCGACTGAGATGGTTAGCTCCAACACGTACTACGTATGCCTAGTTACCGATCGCCTCGTCACACAATGTTGGCCGAAGTAGGTGCAGGCTGGAAAAAGACCAGAGGTCGCCAGACTAAAACATGGCACCAGTGTATGAAGTCTCTGACTATTGGTTTAAGCCATGTAGGACGATGCAGACTAGGTGGTTGGGGTCGGCGGGACAAGAGGAACCAGTGGTTGGAGACCTTAGGTGATATGGTTCAGAATCGATGTGAGTGGCGCAGATGTATACACGCATTATCCTCATCTTAACGACGCTATACCGATCCTCACCATTCTGTCACTCCTTTCTTTCTTCTCATGCTATATTTCTTTTAAGTGGATTTTCTTATCTTCATCTTTTAATTCCCTACCTTTTTACTTGATGTGCTGATATGAGGTGTGGCAACTCGGACCGTTACGCAGTAATGCCTGGTCCTATATTGATAATGATGATGACTTTCCTATCAGATTAGTTATTATGATGCTAATATCATATTTCTTTTTTTTGTGTGGTTTTAGGAATTATTTAGTAGTGTAGGCAGTTTACGCTTATGTACTGTTACACGTCCTGGTCAAGCAGAAGTTATTTATAATCATTCTTCAGATGCACTTGAAGCTATTGAACGTTACAATGGTCGAGAATTAGATGGTCGTCCAATGCGTGTAACACTTACAACACCAATTAGTGATCTACCTAATGAACGTGATAATGCTAATCGTATGGCCTCAAGACTTGGTCCTAATTATGCAAGGTGAGTATATTAATTATTATTATTATCCTTAGTATCATTTTAGATTATTTTAACATTTTTCTTATTTTTGATCTTGTAAACTTGACTAGCAGATGAAATCTAGTTTTGATGATGTGCGTTTCATCCTGTTTAAGACACGTCAACTGGATGCACGTATACCCCATTGCGGAGTCATGTTATCATCAACATTAGAATCAGGCACTACTGCGTAACGCTCCGAGTTGCCACACCTCATATCACTACATCAAGTAAACAAGGCAGTGAAGTAGAAGATAAAGAAGAAAAGGAAATCCAGTCAAAAGAAATATAAAGTAGTAAAAGAGAGAGGAGAGCGTTAAGATGAGGATAACAAGTGTATACATCTCCGCAACGGACTTCGGTTCTAGGCCATGTGATCACCTAGAGTCTCCAGCCACTAGTTTCTCTTGTCCCACGGACCCCAACCGGCTAATCCACATCATCGTATATGAGTCATACCAACAGTCAAACACTTCATACATTGATGCCATGTTTTAGTCTGGTCGCCTCGGGCTTTTTTCCAGCCTGAACCTACTTCGGCTAACATTGTGTGATGAGGCGATCGGCGACTAGGTATACGGAACACATGTCGGAGCTAGCCATCTCATTCGATGATTGTTCACAACCGTGTTAACTGACTTTCCTCTTCTCCTTAAGAGTCTACACCTGACTTCTATGTTACTCACGTGGTGACACCATGGAATACGGCCTATACTACGACGGCAATGTTGGTCTAACAACTGTAGCCTTTTCATGTGATGCTGTTCCCACCGAATGCCCTTCGCTTCAAACGTCAGAGTGTTATCATGTAAGCCACTGGATCACGATAACCACCTCTTATGCAACTGATACCAGTAGTTGTCATGATATTTCTAATTTCCCATTGATATACAAGACCGAGATGCTCGACCTTTGCTATTGGCAGATTGGGCACCTATGGTGATGTCTCGATACTGCGGATATTCATGATGTTTTATATTGATCTTGGTGACTAGCAGGGGAATCCAGGCTGATGCATGTTTCATCCTATTTAGGACTCTCCAGCTGAATATACCTCTACACCCTAGTGTGAAGGGATGTTGTTCCCACCAAGGCTGGAACGCGCCAGAGCGTTATCTGTTAAGCCACTAGAGTACACGATAGTCACCTCTTGTACAAGTAATTATTATTACAGTTTTCTTATTTAATTTCTTTTTTTGTTGGTGTTTATCTAGAAAACAAACTGAAAGTCAAGCTAAACAAGTTATTCGAGAATCTCTTAATCGTTCAGGTATTCCAATTGAAGTGGATGCAGATGTTGTTCGTAAAGCACTTTTCAATGTTAGCTCATCTGGTAGTATACAATCTCGTCGGCCTGTTGATTTCAGTGTTAGTTTACGTTGACACCTTTTATTATAAAGAAATTTTAAAGAAGAGGAATAAGAAACAAGTTATCCTGTGTTCTGCTTTTAACTCTTAGCTTTCAATTTTTCCAATCATCTCTGTATGTATGTATGTATGTATGTATGTATGTGTGTATGTATGTATGTATGTATGTATGCATGTATGTATGTATGTATGTATGTATGTGTGTATGTATGTATGCATGTATGTATGTATGTATGTGCAACTGAAAATTGTATGTGTTACTTTATTGACTTGTCGCCTTTTTCGATCTGAAAATACAGGATGTTGAAAATTACTATGAATTTCTTTTTTTATAATGAATTCGTATTAACCTTAAAAATCAATACAAATTGTAATACTATATAGCCAAGGCAGGGCATAACAGATAGACAGGCAAAGTGTCAATCTTTCACTTTTAGAAGATATAAAGCTAGTGAATACATTTACGGCATCGCTGTGATTGAATTTCAACCATGATTATCATCAAGTAACCTCAGGAGACTTCAATTAGGCACTATTAGTCTACATGGCTGCATACAGCTTAAAGAACTGACAACAGTCTCTTGAATCGATTTCAATTGGACACTTACTCTTAATCAGATAACATTCAACCTCTTCATTGACTGACTAACAAAATCAACGCAGGACCTTGCTTACAAATTCACTGGTTCATAGTAGTTTACAAGAAACAAGTGGATTGGAAAAGAAGTGATAACAGAGAAAAGATAAAAGTTAGTGCGAGTGTCTAAGCTTAAGGAGATGTAAAGTCAGTGAGTACATCTATGGCGTCGCTGTAACCGACAGTCCTCAACCCCTGCTCTCTTTCGTCTAGGAGACCCTAACCAGGCAGTTTACATCCTTCTACACGACTGAGATCACTTGGCATAGTGTTCTCTTCGAGGAAGGGAGCAGGAATAGGCAGATAAGTCGGTAGAAATAATTTACGGTGGGATTACTTTCAAGCATCAGAATCGAACAATTGAAGAGGAGATGTAATATAATTGGGTGTTATTCTCGTTGTGAGAAACGAATTATCTATAGTCTAAAAGAAAATTTATGCTCCACAGTTATTGTCGATCAAATTAACCACTTAACAGAATAATATTCTTGAGATGAATAGGGATTTTTAATCTAGAAGTAGTATTCATCATGGACTGACATCAGTTAGGGAACCATTGAAAATCTGGGAGCACTGGACAGCCGTTTCGTCCAACTAGTATGGGACTCCTCAACAGTACGTGAAACCTGAAGGTCCTGAGTTCGACCCCTAGCCGGGTCGTGGGTGCGTACTGTTGAGGAGTCCCATACTAGTTGGATGAATACTACTTCTAGAATCATATTCATACAATTGAGTAAATCATCATCTTGCACTATTCGATTGGATGCATAATCTCTACTTTTAAACACTTAGTTCAGAGTTCGAGTCCCACCTCGTCTATCATAATCATTTACACCGAGAAAGTATGACCTATGTATGACCTTAGTAAAAAATTAAAAGAAAACTTGTAACTGATTGCTGATGATAATTTCAACGCCACTTTCAATGGAAATTGTCTAAGTGATTAGCATAAGGTTGAGTAGAATTTTCCAACAGGAGACATGTCCACGGTTGTTGTTTCTTTTTATCGCTTACAAAATTGTCAATATGAAGTATATGTTGACTCATAGATTATATTCTAGTGTATCATATGAATAATTAAGAAAAAAAAGAGAAGTAAACTTGATATGAATAAGAAAGAGGAGGATGAGTCACAGTCATAACTGTGAATGAGTGTATATTTCAACAGCACACATTCAATACTTGATTTGGTTGGTGTTGCTTTCATCTTTCTCTCATTGGCTCAAAATATATGAGAAGTATTCATGAAGAAATATATACTGTTCCTAACAATAACAAAAAAAAGAAGATCGAATAAAAGGGTGGAGATACACAAGCTTTATCACATAAAGTATTATACAAGAAGTTTCAAGCTGGTATTTTATGCTAGACTGATATCAGTTGAAGGAACAATGGAAACTTTGGAGTATTGGATAGCTGTTTCGTGCCTAGTATGCGACTTTCTCAGCAGTGTACACCCTCAAATTCAACTCAACTAATGCTTATTGGTGACTAGCTTCAAGAGGTGATGATTTCTGAAGTTCCAGGTAGAGAAATCGTGATCAGTGGGGCAAATCTGATGGCTGCGAAGACATTGGGTGGCGGTCGTGAACGAAACCGCTATCTAGTACTCGTAGGTTTCCAAGGTTCTTCCAATTGATGTCATTCTATGATGAATACCACCCTAAAATATCTCTAAATCCCCGCCAACCCCCTCGTATTGTAACGCAGTAGTCAAGTGGACAACGCGCTCTAGTGTTCATAGCGATCAACCCTGATTTCGAGTCTTAGCGGGAAGGAAATCACCCCTCCTGGGAGGCAGATATGTCCGCATGATGAGTCTTAAACAGGATGAAAGGGGCCCCTTGGATTCCATTCCTAACCATAATTTGAAATTACTGTGAAACAAAACAGACGAATTTGATCTATAAACCCATGTGTACATAAAACTCTGAACTATTTCCCTTTAGAGGCCTCCCCATTTTTTAGGTCTTTAGACCCAGATACATTTCAAATAATGTCTAACAATATGTGAAGTTAAAACGCTCATGCTTTAACGTGCATTGAATTTGATGACTCAAAGGTTTATATACTCCAGCTGCGAAGAAAGAATGTTAAGCAATATATTCCAGTATTTATACTGGGTGATGATTGAAGGTGAAATGAATATTTGTACCGCGGCCAGACCTCATAGTTCAGTTAATAGAGCATCGGGTAGGAAACCCGGTGGTCACTGGTTCGATTTTGGCTGCGGTCCAAATTTTCATTTCACCGTCAATCATCAGCAGACAGTATCAGTAATACTAGTCTGCCAAAGTATCGTCGGATGACATTGTAGATCTCTTACATAAGCGTGAAATTACGTGGCAACCTTCATAATAGATTACTGTATGTTCATATATGTAACCTTTAGATTACATAAAGTCTTAATGGCGCCGCCATGATATCCGACTGTCTATTAAGGGTCGCATGTACTCTACGGCAGTCCCCTCTGTTCTACTGTATGCCTGTGAAACATGGCTATTGAAGGTAGAAGACATGAGACGACTGGCTTCAGGTGTTTGACCATCCTGGCCTTCACAATATAGGCCATATTCCGTGGTGTCACCACTTGAGTAACTCAGAAGTCAGGTTCACGCGTAGAGTTTTAGGGAGAAGAGGTAAGTCAGTTGACACAGTTGTCAACCTTCATCAACTGAGATGACTGGTTGGGACACGCGTTACGTATGCCTGGTCGCCATCTGCCTCATCACACAATGTTGGCCGAAGTAGGTCCAGGCTGGAAAAAGGCTCGAGGCGACCAGACTAAAACATGGTACCAATGTATGAAGTCTCTGATTGTTGGTTTGAGCCATCTGGGGCGATGCAGACTGGCCAGTTGGGGTCCGCAGGACAAAAGGAATCATTGGTTGGAGACTAGGTGACCATATGGCTCAGAACTGGTGTCAGTGGGGTGGGGGGTGGCAGATGTATACACCTATTATCCTCATCTTAACGACGCTATACCGAATCTCACCATTTTCTCACTCTTCCTTTCTCTCTTTTACTACTTTATATTTCTCTTGACTGAATTTTCTTTCCTTCATCTTCCACTTCACTGCCTTGTATACTTGATGTAGTGATGTGAGGTGTGGCAACTCGGAGCGTTACGCAGTAATGCCTGGTGCTACGCTGTTATTGATGATGATGATTTAGATTACCTAGTGAGACTACATTGATAGAAAACACCTTTCTACAAGATTTCAGCGCCGTTGACAACATATATAACGTTACATTTTATTCATGTCTTCTGGCTTTTTCTGTTTACTAACGACCCTTAAAGTACAGTCTAGAGCATTATCACTCTTGAATGTTTCTACCACTTACTTGGATTAGTTTAAGAAATTTTATATGTGCTTTCATTATACGCTGAACTGTTGTTAAGATCATGTCTTCTACATAGCTGATACATCACACTTTAATGTTCTCGGAAGCTGTACACTATAGTATCAATCTATACAACACTAGCCTGGATATATATGTCACCATATTGACATAAAAACTCTGGCAATGAACCAACGGAGAACCTATCGCTCAACAAATATGCACTGGAAAACAGTGGAGATGGATTGGGCATACACTGAGAAGGCCGACTGGGGACATCACGCGTCAGGCCGGACCCTCGAGTGGAATCCAGATGCGAAGCGATGAGTTGGGCGTCTCAGCTGAGGGTGACATGGAGGAGATCGTGTGAGGAAGAAATGAGAGCTTCTGAGCTGTTGTGGAACCAGGTTCAAAAGATTACAGAGAAAACAGTGCACTGGAGACGTGCTACTGAAGCCCTAGGTTCCACTAGGAACCCAAAGGACAAATAATAATGATAATAATATTGACATAAGTTTTTTGATATCTATGCAAGTAGATCGATTATACAGGTAAACAAACTCACTTTCAATTCAACCATAAAACAACGCCAAAGTCGTAACATTAAAACAATATTGGGTAGACTAATCCATTGACAATCAGATCGAAGATGTCGACGAACTACAAGCACACTTATGAATGTTCCAGTTCGACCAACTCCTGCGCTATATAAAATAAAGAAATTTGGTAATATCAAAAACAATAGTAAAATGATGGATAATAGCTAGCAGTGGAATTCAGTACGCACATTTCGTCCTATTTGGGACTCGTCAGCTGGATGTACCTGCTTCTCAGTGAGTATTGTTCCCACCGGGATTCGGACTCGGGAGCGATTGACATATAAAGAAAAACAACTATATACTAAATTATCAAACAATGTATGTTTAAGTGAATTCAAGACATGTAAAATTTGATCATATCTCTTGCCACTTGCATTAAATGAATCTGCAGTCTCAATGTGTTAGAAGAAATTTCTGTTCTAAAGAACATCCTGATTAGAAACGAATCCCTAACAAGCTTCATCGACAGACACATCAGGTCTATACTTCTCAAAGAGAACCTCATCATCACACCAAGAAAGACAATCTACATGAATGTAAACTTCACAGTTGATTCTGCCGCTGACACTGTGAAAATGAGGATATCAAACGCTCTGGGAGAGAGCATTCTTTGCATCAACTCTGAGACTAGTATTCTCTTGTCACCCAACGATTTCTAACAACTCAAAGGAGAAACCTCCATATCTGACCACTTCTATGTGCATATATGAATTCACTTGTTCTTGTGAAGCCAGGTCGTTCGATGCGACTGTTATCCAGAAGGCTTGAAGAGCACTGTCTCACGTGGTTACAAAAAGGTAACAATGGAGTGCTATAATTGAACAGGTCGTCAACACAAATCACCGTATCTCAAAAATTTCCTCCTTTAAAGTCATTTATCAAGTGAAAAGGAACCTCCCAAAGGCTGTATGCCTTCGTATTCTTTGCATCGCCGAAGCTCTTGCCATCTAAATGGAGAAGACTGAACTATGTACACAAGAAGATTGTTCAACTCCTTCTCCTTTCATAGTCTTAGTTTTCAGACTTATCTACTCGACATTATTCACTTCTTAAGAAATTTCCTACTCATTCTTGTTGCTATGCTCTGCCTGATCACAATTCAGTTTCCAAACTTCTTGTTCAGACTTATTTTGATTAATATTCACTACTCGCTAATTTTTTGGTTGTTTTTTAAACATTTAATGACAGCTCATATGATTGAGAGTGTTTGTGTTAGTTGGTTGGAAGCAATCGGCAGAAAGTCCTGCTTCATCTAGGTATCGTGCTGATTTTCGACACTGGTCAGCAAGGCGTGGCTGCAACCTCAACGGAACTGATGTCCCGCCTGAGGTTCGAACCCACATCACCCAGTGTTGTAGTCAGCGACTTTACCACTGAGCTATTCGGGCCGCGACTGACCTTCTGTAGGGCTGGTTTACACGTATTGATTGGTCACAGAAGTGCGGCTCGAATAGTTTAGTGGTAAAGTCTCTGACTACAACACTGGGTGACGCGGGTTCCAACCTCAGACGGGACATCAGTTCCGTTGAGGTTGCAGACACGCCTTGCTGACAAGTGCCGAAAATCAGCACGATACCTAGGTGAAGCAGGGCTTTCTGCCGATTGCCTCCAACCAACTAACATCTACTAATGTGCACCGCGATGCTCAGCTTCCTAGCTTGGTTGCCATATTGCAAATATGATCGATAGAATTCGATCTGCACTCACGACTAGACAATATGAAACTGGTTTCACTCCCATGAGTATGTTTGTGTTGCCTGCCATGCTAGACAAACCGTTTTTAACTATCAGATCTTTACACTGGAAAAATGTATAGATTTGTGAAATGAAATCGCCAAAAAGAAACTCTTCGTTGGAATATACTTGTTCTCCTTTGAAGTCAAGATATCTATCTATACAAGAGAATCGGAAGTTACGAAGTATGTAGGAAACGACAAGACTTGGATGCAGGAAGAAATCTTCATTATTGACATCTTGAGCAGTAGTCATGAATTATTGTACAGCTTGCACTAAGCCAATCATTTGCACGATGTGCTTCATTTCCTCTTCTACTTCCTATCTCGATTTGCTCTTCATATGCCCATATTGTCTCTTGCGTTTCTCTGGGCAGAATCCTTACTCACTGCTAGTAATTCTCTATGATTTCTTCCACCCTCTCAACATATACTACTTATATCCTTTGTGATCAGCAACGCCCACTACGCAAATAGTATGAATTAGCAATTATTAGTCAGGTTTATTGTAAGCAGATTTGTAGGGTTATCCATAACCATCAAAACTGAGGTATGAGGTTAATGTGTGGAAAGTATTCTCAAATGATTAGGCAATTAATCAGAGTAGATAGATTACTGTAAGCCTATACGAGCGTATTTTATAGTTTAGTGCACCAAATCAGTGATTCTGCTTATTTCATCTCGATTAAAGGTTAACCTATAAACTGAATGGTTGTATTGTAGTGTATGCTACTCATAAGATCACATATATAAGTAGTATATCGAGTGATTATTAGAGGCTCTTCAGTAAGAAGTGACAAATATCAGAAGGAAATAGCACAAGGCGAGTGAAGTTCTTGAAGCGGTAGCCATGCACAAATCTAAGCCCTCCCTCCTGTACCCCACCACCACCTTGTGTGCTTAGATACGCTTTCTCCTAACGCTAAGCATATCCTAGTCATGCGTTTCTTATTACCAAGGTTATCTTCCTGCTTGTTAAATTTCTTTATGTATTTTGAGGTGAATAAGGATTTTAATTTAAAGGTAGTACTCATCATAGACTGACTCCAGTTACAGAAGCATTGAAAACCATCAGTGAGCACCCGACATCTGTTTCATCCTAATACGTGACTCCCTAGCAGTATGCACACACACGGTTTTGGCGGAAAACCATGACATAAGCAGTATAGTACACTGTAGCCTAGAGCTGAAACTTATAGTTTCGAAAAACACTATCCTGCATGACTGTCTAAAGGAGAGTGTAACTCGATTCTCGAGTTATTACTTATTCATAAATTGAAATCAAACATTTCGAAAGGAGTAGAGATTCATCAACTCAACACAGTAGAAACTTTGACAATCCATCAGTTCAGACGTCATCTCTATATTGAAAAGAGATAGGTTCAATCTCTAATTTCACCTTGGTCATAACCTTCATAAGACACTTCGTTATCTGTTTGTTTATTTCTTGTTTTTAAGGCAATTGGAGAGCTATTAAAAACCTGAAAGTACTTGACAACTGTTTCGCCCCAGTATCGGACTCCTCAAAAATGTGCACCCATTTTCAAAAGCTGAACAATCGTAACCATAGTAACAGCAAAATATATATCCATCAATGGCTAGTGGTCAATAAAGTCATAAGGCGATAACGACTCGAATAGCAGGTCGTCACCGAAAATTGCTGATAATAAACAAACAAACAGTGAATAAAACGTTTTAAGGAGATTATAATCAAGGCCAAACTAGAGATTGAATGTATCCTTCTTGAAAGCAAAGATCAGACTTGATCAAGGGGATAGCCAAAGCCACTGATGTGTTGAGGTGGTGGATACAAACTCCCTTCGAAATGTCTAATTTCATGTCATCAGTGGGATCCACGATGTGCGTTCCGTCACATTTGGGACGCGTCAGCAACAAATATAAGTGTTCTACATTCTAATATAAGGTGATGATTGAAGGTGGGATGAAAATTTGGACCGCATCGGGATGCGAACAAGCGACCATCTCTAGTTCAGTTACATTTGGATTGAGAAGAGAAGTCCTGACTAGGCTGTCAATGTGAATATTATCAAGCGGCAGTAACGTGTCGCGAATCCACATAGTAGTCAAGCAAAACAACCCTTGACAATTGAAGTGAAGTAAAAATCTAGTCAGCTCAGTTGGTAAAGCATCGGATAGGAAACTCAATGGTCGCTGGTTCGAAACCTACCGCAGTTTAATCATCACCCAGTATCAATACACATCTGCCAAACCACAGCTATCTCAGATAGTCAAAACGATGTTCTACATTTGTTTGCATTTTCACTACAAAAAGTGTAGGAGGGGGTAGAGGAAGGATAAAATGTTTCCAAGATGAAGACAATAGTCTACTAATTGTTGGGTAACTTACCTACAATGTACAACAGTTGGACCAATCGGGATAGTTGATTGGCCTACACAATCCTGATAAATGTTTTCATACGCCTGTACAAGTTTATGCATATTCTCCAATGTTGGTACACCGAAATTCTCCCATTTTGTGGAATGTATCTGGATTACATTATGTAATTCATTCGGTTTTATTGACTAGTAGTAAATGATAAAACAAATGTATCAGTGTATAAAAAAACTACGAGAATAATTAAACAATAAGGTTGTTGTTTTAATTCTGTAGACAGTTTAATTATCATATGCAGTAACTTAGCACATAGTATATACTAATTGTAGTATAGCTAGTGATGAGAAAAGAGATTTACACTCGGATGGAGGCAGTAGATTACAGCAGATCTAGATGTATTTTTATTTATTTGTCCTTTGGGTTTATAGTGCAACATAGGGCTCCAATAGCAATTCTCCATCTCACTCTCTTCCCTGCAGTCTTTTTAACCTGGTTCCGCCACTGCCCAGAAGTTTTCATTTCTTCCTAACATGATCTCTTCCATGTCACCTTCGGACGCCCAACTCGTCGTTTCCCAATCGGATTCCACTCAAGGGCCTGACCTGGCCTGGCGCATGATGTCCCCAAACAGTCTCCTCAGTGTGTGTCCAATATCATCTATCTCCACTTTCTTCAACTGCATATATGTTGGACCATAGCTTCTTGTTTGGTTCGTCGCCAGGCCAGAGCACCTCCTTACTTATTCTAATTATTCTGGCCGTCTCATCTTCAGTATCGAGTGAGCGTAGGCGACAGTTGCTGATGATGTATATCTGTAGTTTGTTGGGAATACTTTTCGTGACGCACCAAGTCTCTCAACCATATGGTATAGAAACACTGACTTAACTGACATTAATGATAAGAATCCGGATGTTGTTCACGCTTTATGCTGATTGTAGTAGATCTCCACACCGATTATTTTTGATTGACGAAGGCCTATACTGCTTTTCCGATGCTGGCTTTGATACCCTCATCTGTGTCGCTGCCTGCCTGGGTAGGTAGGTGAAAGAGACTACTTCCTTTAGATCTATCCCGTTGATGGTGACTGGTGCTTGTTTTTGTTGTTGTTGGTTGGGTATCTTCATCACCTCTGACTTCTCTACATTCACCTGAAGTCCTGTCTCTCTTCGCTGCCTCGCCTCTTCTGCCAATTTGTTAGTTTTCACCTGTAGATTATTGAGTTTGTGCGCAACATTAGGCATAAATCATGATTGGCGAAATACAGATTTTCTTCTGGGGTCTTTACAGCGGTTCAGCCAGCGTATGCTCATCTTCTCGCTACTCACAGTCTCTTGCATGATCCAGTGCAGTCCTGTCGACCACAATCAGGAAAATCATCGTTGATAGTAGGCAAACTTGTCATACTCCTGTCTTCACTTCAAAGGCATCACTGAGCCTTCCATTGTGAATCAATTGGCGTGTAGCATCATATAGCATACAACTGTTGAATGAGGTTGATAAAGGTTTGAGGCACTGAAACAGTAGTGTTGAAGTAGCTGCCTGCCAAATTACTTCTCGGTCGACGCTGTCGAAGGCCTTTTCAAAATCGATGAATTTGAGGTAGAGAGTTGACTGCTATTTTATGTTCTGTTCTGTGATGATGCGTAGCGTAGCAATTTGATCCGCTCATGATTTGTTCTTCATGAAGCCGGCCAGCCTGTTCCGGTCGTATTTTTCACTCCAGAGCATGTCTTCTAGAGGTTGCTTAATTTTACGTCGACACTCATAACTGATGGAAGCAGTGAAAAGCTGTTTCATCCTAGTATGAAAGTCATCAGCAGTGGGCATCCAGGATCTTCAAGTTCCGCGATAAGCACGTTACTAATCAGCCAAAGGGTCAGGATCCATTGGTCTGGGTTTTCTAATTTCTGTCAGTTCATGATGTAATGCAATCTTTATCCACTGCCGTCACTGAGCACCTGTCATCACATTCGACATGGTTCTACAGCTGATGTCAGTTCGTGATCAGTAATCAACTTGAAACCAGCCAATAAATCCCCCACAAACCTGCAAATTACATTGAGTAATTTTAAAGTAGTTTTCCTCATGGATAGATGTCAGCTTGAAAACGCTAGAGAGATGCACCACAATGGTTTTGGTAATCCTCAGCAATGCATATCCATAGGTTCCGTCAAAGCATCAAATCCCAGACTGTTAGCAGCATGTTACCAATTAGCCACTGGATTGAATGATGATGATTACCATAAGGTAGTCCTGAATAAAAATGAAACAATTGTCTAGTACGTTCGTATTTTCAATAGATCTTCATATAACTTCCATTCGTAATGAGAACTTTGTTGATGGTATATTGATTTGAAGATGATCTAAATGGGTTGATTTGATGTTTACAGGACAGAAATAAATCAAGTGCTTTTCGTCTTATGATGTATACAGTACACAGGTAATCTGTAAAAATAATCGTCCACAACAAAGGGAGGAAGGGGTCAAAGTAGTAGCTGTCGGCAATGTAGTGTAGTGGTTGAGTGTGCCGACCACTTTACTTACCTCGGAAGTAGGATCAGCACTACCCTAGTGGCTGGCTCAATGATCGATGAAATCTCTGCACGAATACAAAACGCTCGGTTGGCTGGCTGGCTGACTTTAGCCAACTCACACCACCTGTGGCACCACAGACGTGATATCTCGTTGTCTATTAAACGTCGAGTGTACTAGACAACAGTCCACTCTGTTCCAATCCATGGCTCGGAAATATGGCCATTGAAGGTGGAAGACATGAGACAACTGGCTTCAGGTATTTGACCATCCTGGCATTCGTAGTATACACCGTATTCCGTGGTGTCATCACGTGAGTAACTCAGAAGTCAGGTTCACGCGTAGAGTTTTAGGGAGAAGACGTAAGTCGGTTGACACAGTTGTCAACCTTCATCAACTCAGACGACTGGTTGGGACACGTGTTACGTATGCCTAGTCGCCATCTGCCTCATCACACAATGTTGGCCGAAGTAGGTCCAGGCTGGAAAAAGGCTCGAGGCGACCAGACTAAAACATGGCACCAATTTATGAAGTCTGTGATTGTTGGTTTGAGCCATCTGGGGCGATGCAGACTGGCCAGTTGGGGTCCGCGGGAGAAGAAGAATTAGTGGTTGGAGACTCTAGGTGATCACATGGCTCAGAATTGATGTCAAGGGGGGGTGGCAGATGTAAACACACATTATCCTCATCTTAACGACGCCATACCGGATCTCACCATTTTCTCACTCTTCCTTTTTTTCTTTTACTAATTTATATTTCTCTTGACTGAATTTTCTTTTCTTCTTCATCTTCCACTTCACTGCCTTGTTTACTTGATGTACTGATATGAGGTGTTGTACCTCGGACCGTTGCGCAGTAATCCCTGGTCATATGTTGATTTGGATGGATGGATGGATAGTCATCTTAAAGAAGAAAATCATATAATAGTCAAAAAGTTGCAAAACATCAGGAATTATAATAAAGAACTTGAATGTAAGCTGATACATACAATTGGTGAAAAAGACAATGAGTGTCTGGTGGACAACTACAATAAAGCAAGAACAACCGCATTCAAGAAGTCGAAAAAAAAATACTACAATCAAGAAGTTCAACAAACATTATTGAAGAAAAGCGTCCTGTCAACAATAATCAAATTAACAATAGCACATCATTAATGATCGATAAGTCAAAGTGGGTTATCAATCTCTCAATCAAAGTTCTAAGTTCAACTGAAGTGAAAGTTGAATTTTAAGGGGTTTGTGACGATTTATTGATTGATTTCAAGTTGTTATTCATCAGCTAGAGGGAAAAAAAGAAACCTAAGAGCACTGAACAGCTGTTTCGTCTTAGTATGGGACTCCTCAGCAGTGCGCACCCACGACCCCGCTGGGGATCGAAAGCCCAGATTTTTAATGGTTCCCCCACTGATATCAGTCCATGATGAATACTATTTCTTAATTAAAAAATCCCCATTCATCTCAAAAATACATTACTTTATAGTGCTCATTAGTGACTTGCTTCCAGATGGATGTAAGGAAGTTCTAATGAGAAGCCGTGACCTGTGGGGTCAACCAGTCAGAAGTGAAGTGGATGATAACTGAAGACCTTGGATGATAGTCGCCCTATGTCGTCAATTGATAGAAGTTGGAAATTGTGAAACAATGGAAACCGACCCAATGACTGAATGGTTAACGCGTTCGCCGTGAAACCTGAAGGTCCTGAGTTCCATCCCTAGCCACGTCGTGGGTGCTTACTGTTGAGGAGACCCATACTAGGATGGAACAGCTGTCCAGTGCTTCCAGATTTCCAATGGTTCCTCAACTTATGCCAGTCCATGATGAATACTACTTCCAAAATAATAATAATAATGATTGTTTTGTTGAAACTGAGTTTCTAGATGCATGTTTCATTGGCGGTCTACAGTTGTATTAGATGCGATTAACTTTGGACTGCATATTATCCAATTCAATGAGAATCTTCCCCCCCCTCCCCTCCGCTTATGATCAAGTATACAAAGGCAAGTTTGATTCTCACCGATGAAACTTTGAAATTTCGCTGAATAAAACAATCTGATTGGTTAACATTGACCAAGGTAACTGATATTCGAATATTTGAGTATTCATATTGTTTAGTGGTGTTCAATTCCTCTGGCCAATATAAATCACAAATACTTTGAGTATTATGTTTAAGCCTAAAATATAAAACAGGAAAATAAGCATTAGTAGAAAACAATTGAAGTGTGTATGTATGTATGTATGTGTGTGTGTATGTGTTATATCAGTGCCGTATACCAGTGACTGACTGACTGACTGTTCATGATGAATACCACCTTGGAATACATCAAAATCCAGATAAACCTCAAAATACATTACAAGATGTTTTCTGTTTATATGAGAAAATAAATCGAAGTAGTCAGCAATACAAAATAAAACTGATATATGAATGAATCAATTTCATGTTATTTACTTGGTGTTAACAAAGTTCCAGTCTATTTAGGACATACTTCAGTTGAATGTAGTACATTCATTGAGAGTTTGGAGAGTCCACTTCCATTCCATCTGCTTCCGCATATTTCTAGCACTTCAATGCGATTCCTTCTCATCTCCTTTGCAACCTGGGCAGCCTTGCTAAGTTCAAACATAGTGCGGATATTCCATGTCCCCATCCTTACTTTCGCTTTCATCGAGAGAAGACATATCGGCCAATTGGCTTCCCGAAGGCTTTCACCAACCGGCGTCATTTCGCCTCTCCGATTCCAGTGAGAAATAATTTCGTTATTATTTTCTATATTTTGTTTGTGCTTTGGAGTTTCTTTAGCGGTTGGATTTGTTTTGCGGAGTAGGGTTGCTAGCCGTATGCCCAACCTTCCCTCTTTACCCGGGCTTATGACCGGCTACTAAGTAGTGAACTACTTAACCAGGCGAGGTTTCAGAATACATTACAAGATGTTTTCTGTTTATAAGTAGTCAGTAATACACAATAAAACTGAGATATGAATGAATCATTTTCATGTTATTTACTTGTTGTCAACAAGTTCCAGTCTATTTGGGACATATTTCAGTTGAATGTAGTACATTCATCCCAATGAGAGTGGTGGGTGGGTGATATTCCAGTTGAAAGTTCAACTCGCCAACGATTGTTACAAACACTAGAGGGATTAACCATTTCAGGCTATCGAAGTCACTTATGAAACAAGTACAGGGGATCAGTAATTAGAACAAGACATGTGTATCAGTGAAAAAGAAGAAGGAGAATGGGGAGAGGAAGAGGAAGAAGAAAAATGGGAGGAATGGGAAGAAGAAGGATGGGAAGAAGGAGAAGAATGGGAATAAGAAGAGAAATGGGAAGGGGAAGAAGGATTGGAGGAATAGGAAGAAGAGGAAGGATGGGAATAGGAAGGAGAAGAATAGGAAGAAGAAGAAGAAGAAGAATGGGAAGGGGAAGAAGAAAAAGAAAAATGGGAAGAATGGGAAAAAGGAGAATGGAAAGAGGAAGAAGAAGTATTTCTTTTCAATAATTTCATTATCAAGTTGTACAGTCATATTTATACTCGGTAGAATGATAGATAATTCCATTAAAAAGAGAGTTTGGTTAGTCAATCTGTAAAAATATACAATAGAGATGTTGATGGTTGTATTTCAAGTCCCAGTGTAAAAAGTATCAAATGAATCAATCAATAAGGAATGAAATGAGATAACAGATGATGAGATAAAAGACATATTGATGTCAATGAAGTGAAATGAAATTGATAAAAGTAATCAAAAGTGAATTATTAAAACCAAGTTGGAGAAACAAGGATTTCTTACAAAACATTTTGAATGCAAACTTTCAATTTCTGTTCATGTATACACCCAGTTGTTTGCATAAATGTAATGGAAAAGTAGACCTTTAGAATAGTTAAATTTAAGTATGAAAATTCCTTTAAAGGATAAATCTCTAGGTGTTCACATATGGATGAAATTGTTTTTCTTCGTTCGACTTTGGTAGGCCAGATAGGATAATGTTCAACAACATGTTTTCCGAGGGCTCCACAGGAACTTATGAATTTGTAGATACATATATGGATGTGGACATAAGTGGTGGCATATCCTTCAAGCATTGTCGAATCAGATGGCAGCTGGAGGGAATCAATCTCAGTCTAGTAGCATAGAAGCTACTATTGATACACGAAGATAGACGTTTTTTTTCCGACACTTCAACTGTGGTATCTCCTTTGAATTCTAGATTCATGGTTAATATCAATTCGCTGGTTATTCAGTGACCTATTTTACATACCTCAGTAAGATTTTCACCATTTATATGGTCTACCGAAGGTACATAAGGATGGTCTTCCTGTTCGTCGCAGATATGCTTAATTCACCTTATCACTGATTGGCGAAGTGGCTTACTAAAAGCTTGAACCTGTGAAATCAAATCCCTGCAAATATACGCTTCCAAATACATTTGGTTTTGAAACAATTAGTCCCTTTTATGATTTCGATAGTGTAATTAGAAGACGAAGTTTATCTGAGCAATATGGTGTATTTGCGCAATACATTTCGAACAATCTGATCGCACACACCTTTACTTGTCAAGTCAATATATATTAAACCGAAGACTGGGAGGGGGGATAAATACAACGGTGAACACAATAGGGGATTAAAATTAAGAAAGATGAGGACAAACAGGAGGTGACTTAGTTGGTGTCACCACGTGAGGAACTCAGAAGTCAGGTTCAGGTGTAGAGTTTTAGGGAGAAGAGGTAAGTCAGTTGACACAGTTGTCAACCTTCATCAACTCAGATGACTAGCTAGCTGACTGGGACATGTGTTACATATGCCTAATCGCCATCTGCCTCGTCACACAATGTTGGCTGAAGTAGGTCCAGGCTGGAAAAAGGCCAGTGGTGGCCACACTAAAACAGGACATCAATGTATGAAGTGTTTGACTGTTGTTTTGAACCAGGTAGTGAGATGCAGACTGGCCAGTTGGGGTCAGTGGGACAAGGTGATCACATGGCTCAGAACGGATGTCAGTGGGGGCAGATGTATACATACACATTATCCTCATCTTAACGACGCTATACCGAATCTCACCATTTTTTCATTCTTCCTTTCTCTCTTTTAGTGCTCTATATTTCTCTTGACTGAATTTTCTTTTCTTCTTCATCTTCTACTTCATTGGCTTTTTACTTGATGTACTGATATGAGGTGTGACAGAAACTCGGACTGTTATGCAGTAATGCCTGATGCTATATTGATCTGGATTGATGTGTGGAGTCAGTTAGTCTCAGCTGACGAGTCTCAAACAGGACGAAACGCGCGTAGATACTGGTCATAAATTGAATACAAGCGAGGCTTATGTAGTTATTTATCGAATAACTAACCATTTTTCCGTGTGACTTAAATATTCAACTACTACACATAACAGAATCCATTACCTTGGGCATAATAGTAAATTTTCATTCAAGTTCCATCTTTATTTTATCTAATGGAGTATAATTTTCACAGATATCCCCCTCTATGCTGATTCCTTATTCTTATATCAGATAGACAGGTGAAATTAACGTTGAACCTCGTCTACAAGTAGATCAGTTCAACTTGTCATATTTCATATTGAAAAAAAATTCTACTTTATCAATATCATCCTTTGCTTTTAAACGTTCAACTTCATACAATTACACTTAATAAAGTTTCATGTCATTATTGAAATCTTTATAGACTAGAATAAAATTACAAAATTCTATGTCGTTAGGCATAGATTATGACAATTGACAATGTAAATTTTAAAACATACCGACAAAAATTTACAAATCAATTATATAATATGCTTACCCTGTCAGCATAATAATAATTGGACATTGATATATGTAAACCATATGCCAAAAATCTCCTATTGTCTTTTTAAGTGGACCTTGTGTAGCAATAAATTCACATTGATTATTTGCTCTTAACATAGTATCATTTGAAGATGTTGGCGGTTCTATAGTTCGGATAAAGTTGGCATTGATGTAACCAGTTGAATTCATAGATAACTAAAATGAATTTGTTAAAAAAAGATGAGTAGAATAGCTCACGTTGAAGTCATACGTTTATTGGTTAGAAATTAGTACAGTTTGCAGGTTCGTATGGAGTTATTGACTTGAAGTCCATATTCATTATGTAATAATAATAATATCATCTTACCAAATGCTTGCAGAAATCATTGTTTTAGGCGATCGCAGTCGAAGCAGTTGATGTAAGTATTCAGTGAAGCAAAATATGCTTCTTACTTCTGACATCCATAGCTTGTCTTATTTGTTTACATTCGTAAGTTTTAATTGAAAATTTCACCGTCGAGTTCATCGATGAACTATTGTTTCCAACAAAACTTATCTATAATGCGATACATTACAACAGGTTGATTGTAATCCCTAATGGTTAGTTGTTATCCTGCTTAAAGTAAAAGTGAGTAACTCTCAGCTTTTAAAACTCATATGTAGGAGGCATTTTGAACATATAAGCAATGAATGGTATCCTTCTGTCCCAGACAGAAATAACACGTTTTCATAGAGTTTGGAACTAGTTAGGAATAATAATAATTCACTTTATTCCAAACAATTTGTGGTACTATTTGGAATTCTCAGAGTAATACATATTGCAATAACAACAAAATATATCTGTATATACATACTACTTCGCAGCCTTTCGAATTGTTTTAATATAAAAATCTAAGTCATATAAAGATGGATATCAGAAAGCTCTAATGAAAAGCCGTGACCTATGGGATCAACCAGTCAGAAGTGATGTGGATGATAACTGAAGACCTTGGATGATAGTCGCCCTATGTCGTCAATTGATAGAAGTTGGAAATTGTGAAACAATGGAAACCGACCCAATGACTGAATGGTTAACGCGTTCGCCGTGAAACCTGAAGGTCCTGAGTTCCATCCCTAGCCACGTCGTGGGTGCTCACTGTTGAGGAGACCCATACTAGGATGGAACAGCTGTCCAGTGCTTCCAGATTTTCAATGGTTACTCAACTTACGTCAGTCCATGATGAATACTACTTTTTAACTGTCACAAAGTTGATGTGTGATTTCTATTCTAACACGCTTTTCCTCACAAAATATGCGTGCCAGGTAAAGTACAGTCGAATTCTTATGCTTAGCTGTACGAGCATACAGTCTTATGTAGTTTCTGCTTGTCCTCCCTGAGGAGATACATGGAGAGAGGTATAAATGGAGTGGATGCTCAGTGTCAGTTAAAATTTATGTAGCTAGTTGCTTACAGGGATTTATATGTCGATCAACTACAGTGTTAATCAGTTGAGCCAGAGACACACCACTCACCCTGCTGACAGCCTTCAAAGCCCTACGCAACATAACATAGTCCTTTATTAGAAGACCAGGAAGGATTAGTGGGGAACAATAGAGAAGAGTAGGTAAAATGCAGGAATTAATAAAGTGTAAAAGTAGAGGGCAAGTTATACCAGAGAGCCTCAGCTTCCTTATGTATTAAGTTAAACGAAAGATTTTTTTTACAGGTCAATAAAATATGGGACGATCAACAAAGATCAGAAGTAAAACGCAACCCAAGATAGTTCACACTCAATTTACTTCCTGCAGAATTACCATCGATGTAGCAGGCGTCATGAGATTTAAGCAGCTCGCATAAGTCTTATTTACGCCTGAGGCTAAAATTAACGATCTAACATTTAGAGGGGTTTAGTTTGAGACCATGTGACAGAGACCATTTACCAACTTCAGACAAGAATTCATTTAATTTCGAGCAATCCAAAGAAGAGTTGACTGGAATATAAATCGTCAGGTCGTCAGCATACTTGATAAAATTAGTTTCAACAGAATAAGGCAAATCGTGCAAAAAAAAGTAGGACAGAAAAGGAGAAAGTACAGCACCTTGAGGCACACCAGCTTCAGTTAGCAATGAAGTCGAGCGCATCCATTTATCAATAGTGTACTGTTTCCTTTCAGAAAAATATGAATGCAGCCATTTTGTAACCCATGACTGAGTGTGAGCTATGGTAAGCTTATTTAACAAAAGTGGTCTAGGAACAGAGTCTAAGGCTGATGAGTAATCTAAAAGGCACAACCAACATACTTAACACCTCTGTCGAAACTAAAAACAATATTATGATGCAAGACAGTGGCTGCATCTAAATTACTCCTCCGGTGCTTGTAAGCAAACTGTTTTGGATCTCTGAAGGCCATCAATGAAAGCTCAATCACAAGGAGAAGTAATTGCTCCATTGTCTTCAGAAAAGGGGAAGTTATAGCGATGGGTCGAAAAGTAACATCTGATCCAGAAGATGGCTTAGGCACAGGTACAATTTTTATCTGTTTCCAAGCAGTGGGTAATATGTTTTTAGAGAACGATACATTGAAGATATCTGTAAGTGGATGACATAAAATATCTGCACATTTTCTAAATATGATACTAGAAACACCATCAGGACTTAAGCTTTGGGAGGGATTCAAAGACTTTAGACATTTAAATACACTATTTGTATTGAAACCAGGAAAGCAGCTATCCACTTGACTTTGGACATTAGGAAGGGTGCAGTTAGCTTGTCGACGTATAAACGACTTGTTTAACGCACAGACATTGGAATGAGTTTGTTTTGTCATCTGTTTCTTACTAGTAAGCTCTTTAAATAATTTCCATATATTGGGAGAGTTCTTACACGACAGCAGTTGGAGAACTGTTTCGAAACCTGGGAGCGGTGGATAGCTGTTTCGTCCTAGTATGGGACTCTTCAGCAGCGCGCGTCCATGATCCTACCATAGATGAAACCGAATACTTTCAAGTTTTATGGTGAGTACATTAGCATTGAACTAGCCACCAAGCTAGATTAAAATGGTCTACACTTTCCTACTTCCGTTAATTCACGATGTAGCGCGAATTCTAATAACGGTTGGGACAAATCAAGTCAGATGTGAGAATAGAAATTCAACCATGGTAGTGAATCTCATGAATCAGCATGAGTAGAAAAATAAGGACTCAGTGGTAACATGATGATTGAAGCCTTTTGAAGTGGCTATAGCTCATAAGCCTACAGAATCTCTTCACTCTCTGTTACACAGGTCAATGGATGCAATAGCAAAGAAGGCCGAACCAAACGTTTTCCATGAAATGAACTATAGAAACTGAGAAAAACACTACTTCGGATAGACTGGTCGCCATCCTCTCACTAACTGGAAGCGTCATAACATGTAAATCTTCCCTTATATCACAAAATACAGACAACTATGGACATGAATTAGACTGGGAAAATGTGAAAATCCCGGTTAGGTAGAGAAAGTGCAAAGAATGCCAGTGAATCTTTTAGAAACTTGGGATTCAAGTCAGTCAGTAGACATACTGACACTGACCCGATCTATCAACCGATGAAAAGCAACAATGAAAAACAACAAGGTTGACGTCATCAGCAGAAACAACCAATCAAACACAAGGCCATCGGGACAAGTTATTAAGCCGCTTGTGAAGAAAACCTGATAAATCATTCCTTTCTTAAGGTTATGCCGTTGATGTTGTCTAGAAATGACAATGAAAGCTTCACAATTAGGTCAGACACCACAACATTATCAAAATCATCACCGTAAGCTACAAATATTCCTCATCATCTTTTCATATTACTTTTGATCAACTACTTACTATTTCGAAAGACAGTTTTATCAACTATGTAAATGGTAATTTGGTTGGTTGTGGCTAGGAGAGGAATGCAGAACGTGCATACATCCAGCTGACGAGTCCCCAATAGGACGAAACAGGCGTCCTGGATTCTTCTGCTAGCCACAATCAAGTAAATTAACATTCAGACAATATCATGGCCTTCGCATAAGAGCCCATATGCTAATGGAAGTCGAAATATTCGATCCAGTAAAACGACAGAGAATTACAAGCATATTATATCATGTAAATGATTATATATCATATGAGTAAGCATTTCCAAACTACAGATATTAACCAACAACTGCCTACGCTGGCTCGATACTGAAGATCAGATGGCCAGAAAGAATAGGCAACAAGCAACTCTGGCTAGTAACGAACCAACCAAGAACCTATCAACAAACGAATATGCAGAAGAAAGTGGGGATGTATTGGGCATGCACTGAGAACACCATTCGGGGACATAACGCGCCAGTCCAGGCACTCGAGTGGAATCCCGATGGGAAACGACGAGTTAAGCGTCTCAGCTGAGGGTGACATGGAGGAGATTGTGTGAGGAAGAAATGAGAGCTTCTGGGCTGTTGTGGAGCCAGGTTCAAAAGATTGCAGAGAACAGAGTGGAATGGAGACATGCAACTGAATCCCTATGTTCCATTAGGAACCCAAGGGACAAATCATATAATAATAATCATAATGCTAAAAGGTCGAAATCACTCATCCTTAGCCAGTTGAAATCTAGTATAATAACAGCACGAGGTTAGAAAATTAAAACAAGATATTTCTGAATGTTTCACTGTGTAAACCACAGCTTCTTCAGAAGAATATACGGATTATTTTTACTTAACATCATAATATATACTTATGATTTGACTATCTAAGATAACCTTAGTTTGACAGACTAGTTATTTGTACTGGGTAAGATGAAAATCTGGTTCGAATTCGGTCGCAGTTCAGATTTTCATCTCACCTTCAATCATCACTGTCAAATGATACATCAAATATATTTAAGTCATTGGTTAGATGATTTTTCTGTTCAACTTGAGTAATTAAAACTAAATTTCGTCCCATACTGGGACGAAACAGCTATCCAGTGCTCCCAAGTTTTCTTCGTTCCTCCAACTGATGTCAGTCTACGATGAATACCAACTTAATTAATTAAGATTAGTCATTACAAGATCATGGTTGTTATGATTGTCATCTATCAACAAATATATGTATTTTATATAAACTATAATCAAGACTTGATTGTGTACTATGGTAAATATTGGGCGCTGACTGAATAAAAGGTTAACATTAGATATAGATTGTATATTTGTGTAAGTCATAGCGAGTTTGAAATCAAATAATTTCAACATTGTTTCAAATGGAAGTCTACCGCGAACTTCTCCAGGAAAATAATCAAAATTAAAATGTCAAAGATCAAAAAACGTGTATTTGATCTCCTTGTCCAATCCTCTTCGTATAGTCATTGTCTTTCTAAATTATGATAACTAGTCATTCAAGTCGTTATTCATCGTAGACTGATATCAGTTGGAGGAACAAAGGGAACCCAAGAGCACTGGACAGCTGTTTCGTCGCAGTATGGGACTCCTCAGCAGTGCGCACCCACGACCCCACCCCACCAGGGATCAAATGCGCTACCTTCAGGTTCCGTGGCCAGCGCGTTACCTTTGAGCCACCGGGTCAGAATCCAATGCTCCATATTTCCAACTTCTGTTAGCTCTTGATACAGCGCAACCGCCACCCAATGTCATCGTTGGGTAACTGTCCTCACGATCTCTGCTGGTGGGGTCGTGGGTGCGCACTGCTGAGGAGTCCCATGCTAGGACGAAACAGCTATCCAGTGCTCCCAGGTTCCCATCGTTCCTCCAACTGATGTCAGTCTACGATGAATAACAGCTTGAAATATTTCCAAATCTCCACAACTCCCTCAAAACTAATCATTCAGTGTGAAATTGTATGTCTCTTGTTGTATGCTGTGTGGGTGCGTGTGCATGTGCGTGTGCGTGTATGTATGTTATATGTATATGCATATATACTAGGCGATGAATGAAGATAAAGTGAAAATCTAGACCACGGTCGGATTCGAACTACCGACCACCAGGTTACCTGCCCGATACTCTACCAACTGATCTATGAGGTCCAACTGCTGACCAGATTTTTATTTCACTTCAATCACTAAAGGTTTTTACCTGATTACCGTGTGAATTCGTGACGCATTACTACACCTTGATCGTATTCACACTGGCTGCCCACCAGTCAGGACTTCTTATCCTAATCTAAATCTAACTGAATCAGAGAGGGGGAGCTTATATGTACTCGAATTCATCTTGATTGTAAATATCAGATAAAAAGGTCACAGGTGATGATATTATAGTCATTGAGTGATTTTATAAGTACAACGAAATGGATCAGGCGGATATGTATACACTCTTAGTTGGAATATGATGGTGAATCGTATTCCCGTTGATCTGATCTACGGGAAAAAGAGTGAAAATGAGTCATGATAATAATGATGAAGATGATGATGATGATGATGATGATAGTAATAGTGAATCAAATCAATCCAAATTGTGTTGTTGTTGATACAGAAATAATGAAGTTGACACTGGTGTTGACAGTAAATGCTTTGAGTCACTCTTTCTGAGTACTAATTAGTAATTGCCAAGAGGTAACTAACTGTGCTCCATCTCGTCTGTTCAAACTGTCTGAACTGGCCCATATATATGTAGGGCTTCGGCTGTCAACCTTTCTTGGTATGACCCAAAAGCACACAGAAGCACTGACTTGACACTGGTGTTGAAAATCCGGATGTTATTCATGCTTTATGCTGAGTGCAGTGCAGTAGATCTCCCCATTGGTTTTAGGTTATTCAATGCCTGTCTTGCATTTCCGAATCTGGCTTCGACATCCTCGTCTGTGCCGCCTGTAGTTGAAACCGTACTGCCTAGATAGGTGAAGGAGGTTACTTCCTTTAGGTTTCTCCTGTTGATGGTGATTGGAGCTTGTTATTGTATTTGGTGGAGTTGGTTAGGTATCTCCATCACCTCTGTCTTCTCTACGTTCATTTGAAGTCCCATCTTCGCTGCCTTGCCTCTTCTGTCAACTTGTTAGTTTTCACCTGTAGATCTTCCAGTTTATGCGACATTAGACATAAGTCATTGGCAAAATCTAAATCTTCTAGGATCTTTTCCGCGGTCCAGCGTATCCCCCTCTTCTCGCTCCTCACGTTTTGCTGCATGATCCAGTCCACCACAATCAGAAAGGTGATCGGTGATAGTAGACAGCCTTGTCTAAAAAAAACTGCTGTACTCAATTCCAATATAAGTATATGGAGAGAGAGAGAGAGAGAGAGAGAGAGATTACTGAAACTTCTTTCATCGAATCAAGCAACACGCAACACATGTAACAGAAATGACGCAACATCCATAAATACCAGAGATGTGGAAATTTTACTACCAATGGAAACAAAAAATATGAGACAAAAGGACTATAAACATCAGATGTTGGAAGTAGAGTGTGATTACACTGATATGATTATGAGCAATAATCTATACTCGAAATGTCATCAAGTAAATAATACTAGATCACTGTGTATTATAAATCAAATAAACAAATCTAATATCGAAATGACAGACAGATAAGCGATGGAATGGAGAGGATGAAAGAGGAGAAGCGGAAACAGTAGCAGAAGAATGATAACTGATGAGGAGGTGTAGGTATAAGAAGAGTAGTTGTAATATGGGGAGGAAGAAAGCGATTTAGGTGAGTTGTAGGTTGTGGTGACAGTGGCAGTGGAGGATTTAGGATGATGCTATGGAGCACAAGGATGAGGTGAAGGGTTGTCATGATACTAACCATGAATACGAAGTTGGTGTTGACAAGTTTGCGGATGGGATCATTTTAAGCGGTGGTGTTGACGAGATGGATAAGACACCTAGCAAGACTGATAACCAGCTATCTTTTACTGAATGTCTCCACGATGATAAACATCGCGTATCACATTCGTACCGGCCAATACTATATTTTCACGGATCACAGTGATGACAGGTAACTTGTCTCATGTCGACTAGGTGTAAGTTGTCAAGCTTGTTGGAGGCTAGATAGGTTTACACAGAAGAAGGAGAATAGATTAGTGTTTATGATTAAAGGTATGGTGAAAATAATTTACATAATAAATAAATCAATAAATAAAAGTTTACAGTTGAAAAATAAAACAAGGAATTACCTGATCAAAAGTAACCAAATTGTGATCATTTACATCCTTTAAAATCACTCGTGTTTGGTCATCTAAAAATAAGCAATACGGAATTTGAAATCCCCAGTGAATTGTAGGCATATCAACTTCTTTAGTGTTATTGCTTGTATGACACCGTTGTTGATTGGACCGAATTGATCAGTCTCTGTTAGCATATGGGCTTCTGATCAATTCGATTCAATCAACGACGGTGTCATACAAGCAGTAACACTAAAACTATACCCGTTGTACAATAAGTGGCTATCATAGCTCGGTGGTGTAGTTGATAACGGTTTGGCGTTTGGAGTGGTCGCTCCCGAGTCCCGGTGAGAACAACATCACTTACTGGGAGGCAGGTGCATCCAACTGACGAGTCCTAAATAGAACGAAATGCGCATCCTGGATTCCACTGCTAGCCACTGCCCATCATTACTATACATATCAACTCCTTGTATCGATAAAAAGGATTTAAAAAATAGGCCTGTTCACCAGAGTGTAAACAAGCTATGCTGCATGTGTGTCCGTGGCAAGCGTAACCGGAATAAATAAAATACACCTCGAATATTATAAAACTATTTATAAAACTTTCGACAAGAAACATAGACTAATTCTATTCTCTTTCAATGATAGGAATGGTGCAATCCAATACGCATTTAACAATAAGTTAATCTGCCCGAATGGCTTAGTGGATAACGCTTTGAAACTCACTCACTCACTCACTCACTCACTCACTCACTCACTCACTCACTCACTCACTCACTCACTCACTCACTCACTCACTCACTCACTCACTCACTCACTCACTCACTCACTCACTCACTCACTCACTCACTCACTCACTCACTCACTCACTCACTCACTCACTCACTCACTCACTCACTCACTCACTCACTCACTCACTCACTCACTCACTCACTCACTCACTCACTCACTCACTCACTCACTCACTCACTCACTCACTCACTCACTCACTCACTCACTCACTCACTCACTCACTCACTCACTCACTCACTCACTCACTCACTCACTCACTCACTCACTCACTCACTCACTCACTCACTCACTCACTCACTCACTCACTCACTCACTCACTCACTCACTCACTCACTCACTCACTCACTTACTCACTCACTCACTCACTCACTCACTCACTCTGCAACTCACTCACTCACTCACTCACTCACTCACTCTGCAACTCACTCACTCACTCACTCTGCAACTCACTCACTCACTCACTCTGCAACTCACTCACTCACTCACTCTGCAACTCACTCACTCACTCACTCACTCACTCACTCACTCACTCTGCAACTCACTCACTCACTCACTCACTCACTCACTCACTCACTCACTCACTCACTCACTCACTCACTCACTCTGCAACTCACTCACTCACTCACTCACTCACTCACTCTGCAACTCACTCACTCACTCACTCTGCAACTCACTCACTCACTCACTCTGCAACTCACTCACTCACTCACTCACTCACTCACTCTGCAACTCACTCACTCACTCACTCTGCAACTCACTCACTCACTCACTCTGCAACTCACTCACTCACTCACTCACTCACTCACTCACTCACTCACTCACTCACTTACTCACTCACTCACTCACTCACTCACTCACTCACTCTGCAACTCACTCACTCACTCACTCACTCACTCACTCTGCAACTCACTCACTCACTCACTCTGCAACTCACTCACTCACTCACTCTGCAACTCACTCACTCACTCACTCACTCACTCTGCAACTCACTCACTCACTCACTCTTTACAGCGATAGATTAATGAATAAATTTTGTAACACGATTATTGACACAGAATATGTATAAAAAATATTTCTAATTTTCTGAATGTGAGTATTGTACAACAGATAATCTTATTTCATTGATTTTCCACCCCACGCATATATTATTATCAATTCCACACAACTGAAAGCCTTCTAAGTGATAAGGTGAAATCCGAGTATACTTGCGGTATGTGTACTACTTATAAGAATACCTGTAATTAATGCATAATGTAGTGAGTGGAGAAAGTGATCAGAGCTAACATTCAATTTGTGATGCTTCTGTAGAAATAAACAAAAAAAAATTATGGTAAGGTAATATAAAAGATAATCAAGCAAGCTATCGAAGCAGAAGGACAACTTATCCGTGAATTAGAATTCCAACATTATTTCCTACACCTCAATGACAGAAAAAGCCTCATACCAAAGAAGAAAAAGATGCATGGGGAGAGAATGAACTCGAAAATCAAGATAAGTGAAAATATTCGAGCATTGAACAACAAAATCTCTGTACCTGTTCAAAAAGCTCGGTTGGCTTTAGCTAACTTACACCACCTGTGGCATCACAGTCGTGATATCTCGTTGTCTATTAAACGTCGAGTGTACTAGACAACAGTGCACTCTGTTCTATTCCATGGCTGTGAAATGTGGCCATTGAAGGTGGAAGACATGAGATGACTGGCTTCAGGTATTTGACCATCCTACCCTTCGTACTATACACCGTATTCCGTGGTGTCACCACGTGAGTAACTCAGAAGTCAGGTTCAGGTGTAGAGTTTTAGGGAGAAGAGGTAAGTCAGTTGACACAGTTGTCAACCTTCATCAACTCAGATGACTAGCTAGCTGACTGGGACATGTGTTACGTATGCCTAATCACCATCTGCCTCGTCACACAATGTTGGCCGAAGTAGGTGCAGGCTGGAAAAAGGCTCGAGGTGGCCACACTAAAACAGGACATCAATGTATGAAGTGTTTGACTGTTGGTTTGAACCAGGTAGTGAGATGCAGACTGGCCAGTTGGGGTCAGTGGGACAAGGTGATCACATGGCTCAGAACGGATGTCAGTGGGGGCAGATGTATACACACATTATCCTCATCTTAACGACGCTATACCGAATCTCACCATTTTCTCACTCTTCCTTCATTCTTAGAGGGATTTGTCTTTCCTTCTTCATCTTCCATTTTATTGTCTTGTTTACTTGATGTAGTGATATGAGGTGTGGTAACTTGGACCATTACGCAGTAATGACTGGTCATATGTTGATGTTGATGATGATTTGAACACATCAAAGTATGAATACATATGAACAGTTGTAACCGATCCTTAGCCACGTCCTTGTTGATATCCAACCCATGGTGACTAGTATCTTAGAGACTGTAACCAGGTAATCTACAACTTATTTCATACTTGACAACAACAGTCAGAGAATTTATGCACCCCAGAAATGTCCTGAGCCCTCTTTTCTTATCTAAACCAACTTCTAGAATCGCACGTTGAGGCACAATGGCTCTAGCGTGGATCCCTCTATAACGCCATTAGTCTCAATTTGTCACTAATAGTGGACGGTGAATAGCAGTAAAATTCAAGATGCACGTTTCATCCTATCTGAGACTCATCAGCTGAAAATACCCTACCTTCTAGTGTTTTGGCGTTATTCCTTGTAATTCCTCGTCGTTGACTGGGACGAATTTAATTAAACCACCTATTTAATAAGGTTTTAAAGAAAAGAATGAAAGGCATTTATATATATATATATATATATATATATATATATATATATATATATATATATATATATATATATATATATATGAGAAAGAGGTGACTTACAAGGCAGAATATCATCGTAACGATTTAAGTAATAATTGTCTGAATGAAGTGCAGCATGATAAGTAAATTGGTTCACTCTTTCCAGTTCATAAGTCTTAGAGGTTATCGTCTGTAAGTTAAATAAACAATTACAATACACAATCATCTATGTGAATTGATTAGTTTTTCGATAATAATTTTACAGAAGTAGTGGACTGAAAATGTTAACACTATATGAATACATTCTAGTTAACCTTCAAGTGTAAAGTTATTCAATGCAATTTTATCTAAAGGTGACATAAGCGATAAAGAAGAGTTTAATGCAGAAATTCAACCGTTTCAGTTGTTCTATATATACTTCCATCCATCTACATCAACATAGAATCAGGCATTACCGAGTAACGGCCCGAGTTTCTGTCACACCTCATATCAGTACATTAAGTAAAATGCCAATGAAGTAGAAGATGAAGAAGAAAAGAAAATTCAGCTAAGAGAAATATAGAGCACTAAAAGAGAGAAAGGAAGAATGAAAAAAATGGTGAGATTCGGTATAGCGTCGTTAAGATGAATATAATGCGTATGTATACATCTGCCCCCACTGACATCCGTTCTGAGCCATGTGATCACCTTGTCCCACTGACCCCAACTGGCCAGTCTGCATCTCACTACCTGGTTCAAACCAACAGTCAAACACTTCATACATTGATGTCCTGTTTTAGTGTGGCCACCACGGGCCTTTTTCCAGCCTGAAACTACTTCAGCCAACATTGTGTGACGAGGCAGATGGCGATTAGACATACGTAACACATGTCCCAGTCAACTAGCTAGTCATCTGAGTTGATGAAGGTTGACAACTGTGTCAACTGACTTACCTCTTCTCCCTAAAACTCTACACCTGAACCTGACTTCTGAGTTACTCACGTGGTGACACCACGGAATACGGTGTATACTACGAAGGCCAGGATGGTCAAATACCTGAAGCCAGTCGTCTCATGTCTTCCACCTTCAATGGCCATATTTCCCAGCCATGGATTGGAACAGAGTGGACTGCTGTCTAGTACACTCGACGTTTAATAGACAACGAGATATCACTGCTGTGATGCCACAGGTGGTGTGAGTTGGCTAAAGCCAGCCAGCCAGTCAGCCAGCCAAGCCTTTTGTATGTGTGTAGACATTTCATCGAGCAGTGAGCCAGTCACTAGGGTAGGGCTGATCCTACTTCCCAGGTAAGTGAAGTGATCGACATATTCAACCACTACACTCTCTATTGTTAGTCGTGACACTGTTGAAGACCAGTTGTGGAGCAACAATTTGCATTTGGGTGATGAGAAACGCATCCCAAACATTCTCGAATTGGCACTGAAAGTGTTCAGAAGACTCTGCATCTTGTCAGCGTCTTCACCTAACAGGATTATGTGATCTGCGTATTCTAGGTCTAACTAAAATTCTCGTGGGCTGAGGGCAACGTCTGTGTAGTCAGGTGAGGTGACGAGAGTGAGACGTGCATAAGAGAAAGTATGATAAAATTGAAAAAGGATGGAGAGAATGGGCACCTATGACGGATACCACTTGACGAGCACAGCTCCCCGGATATCTCACCATAGGCTTTAACACGCTCGCGAGTGTTTGCGTAGACAGCCTTCAATACACACACATACATAGGGTGGTCATTCTAAGATGTGACACTAGTCGGTAACTGTTCATCTTAGCCGTGTAGGGAGATGTAGATTGCCTAGCTGAGGTTCCCGATACGTAAAGAACCAGTGTTTGAGGACTCTTGATGACATCATGGCTGAAAATCAGTGACAATGGTGTAGATGTATTCACTCCTTGAAATCTTCTAAAACTTGATTGAGTATTTGCAATAACCGTTATCTCTCAGACACAACTGGGAACCGATACACTTGTGTAGAAGGTTCTACATTGGTTTTTGTCTATTTTCCGTTTGTTCTTATGGAGATGCAGTTCATTGGTTAAGTCATTAAACTTTTAATCAATGAGTCTCTAGGATTCAAAGTTCCGATCTAACTACTATATTCTAGGCGATTGGAATGCATCATAAGTCATCCATTACACACACGGATAAAAGAGGTCTAGCTCATAGCCTGGTCTATAAACATTTATACCGTTGTGAAGTCTAGCAACTTGGAGTGATGTAGTTGTATCACAAGCTTCTACGTTGATTTTGTCTGTTGTTTTTGAATCACAATCATATAGTTCTACTCTCATCAATATACACAAACCAAAATTTCGCCAATTTTGTGTTGGGGTGTAAATTACTATGACATGATCATTTACTGGAACAAACGTCAACAATTTTAAGGTGAGGTAGGAGTTTTCGAGTTCCAAGTTTCAATCGATACTAGTGTCTGGTGATAAGGGTTTTAGTAATCTGATTGTTTCTACAAAGTGTTATGAACAGGTCAAGTTACTCAGCAATCATAATGGACTTCTATTGACTTTATTGGGTTGGAAAAAAATCAACAGAAAACCATGTTTCACCTAGATTTCCAGTTTCTTGTCATTCATCAGCAAAATCTTTTTACAACGCTGAAAGAACTTATTTCCCAACAATGATTTGAACCAAAGTTAGCCAGTGTTGTAATCGTATAAGGAGTTCTCTCACTGGAGTATTGGTTGACTTAGGTTCGAATCCATCAAAAGAGTACCAACAAGCACGCAGCCTAAGTCAACTAGGGTCTCTTGTTGATAGGCTTCAATAATGTAACATGTAGTTTTGCATTTTATAGAAATCATCATTTCAGTGACAGGTTGGCTCAATGAAGCATAAGGTACTAGGGAAAAGTAGTTCATACTCATGTACAACGTGAGTGTATTCATGTTTCAGTATGGTTTACCTACGTCCACAAATTCATTTGATCACTTAATCTTCAGTCTGATAACACTAGTCACATTTCTGTATGAATGTGATAAGTTAACGGAAATAAAATCAAAGGCATCAGACAGGAAGGATGAACACTAGTAGAGAACATGAGTTACCAGTATAAGCTATGAGTACTAGGATAATGGTCATGTTTACTGGATGGCAGGTGAACTGCCTTTCTTACACACATTCTCACATCATCTTACTCTACATCTATCAAAGTATTATTATTATTATTGTTTTTCCCTTAGGTTCCTAGTGGAAGATAAGGTCTCAGTAGGATGTCGTTATTCCACTATTTTCAACCTGGCTCCACCACTGTTCATAAGCTTTCATTTCTTCCTCACATGATCTACTCCATGTCACCCTCACCACGGATGCCCAACTCGTCGTTTCCCCTTTCGATTCCACTCGACGGTTTGGCCTGGCATGTGATGTCCCCAGTAGGCCTTCTCAATGTATACCCAATCCATCTCCACTTCCTTCCAGTGCAGATTTGTTGAGCGATAGGTTCTTGCTTCGTTGGTTCGTTCCCAGCCAGTCAGAGTTCCTTCTTGCTTATTCTCACTATTCTGGCCATCTGATCACATCTTCGGTATCGAGCCAGCGTAGGCAGCAGCTGTTGATAAATGTCTTTAGTTTGTTGGAAATCCTTTTCATGACACGTCAAGTTTCTCAACCATCACATAGAAGCACTGATTTACTTGACTGACATTGGTGTTGAAAATCCTCTATACATAGCTCATATAAACAGTCAAAGAATTTATGAATTGATATCATATCTCAGGTTAATCACTCCTAGCCTTCTTTCAAACTAACCATACTTCGGTTTACATCACACATCCAGATAGGTAGTGGCTGGGCATGCATAACACATATTCAAACTATATCACTATACGTCTAAACTCAAAATTGGTCAAAAGTGGATGTTTTTGTACTTTAACATCAATATGAAATAAGTAGTTTTAGTAAAATCAATTCATTACATGTAAATCCTTTAAGTAAACTTACTTCAAACTGTTTGATAAGTGAATATTTGAAACCAATTAAACATTCATCTAAGTATTGTTTGAAATGTGATCGGAGAATTAACGGAAAGCTGAAATTTCAATGTGTATTAACACATATGATGAAAAAAAGAATCCCAAAAACAGTTGTTTATAATAGATATAAACAAGGCTTAAGGGTAAGACTAACGAATCTGTAAGATTATATAGATCTTGGTGACTAACAGAGGAATCCAGATTGACGGACGTTTTGATCCGTTCGAGATTCGACAGTTGGATGCACTTACACCCCCAATGCAGCTCGAAACCAGTAATCTTCGCTTCAAACGCTATAGCATTATCTACTAAGCCACTGGGGTATGATAGTCACTTCTTGTGCAACGAGTGTCACTTGGTGTAATGATACTCGTAATTTTTCATTCCTATACAGAGCCGAATTGCTCGACTTCTGTTGGGAGATGGGCTCCTATGCGTAGGTCAAGATGATGCCGCATAGGAACATGGAAGCTTATCTGACAACAGAGGTCGAGCAATTCGGTCCTGTATAGCAACAGGAAACTATGGGTATCATTACAACGAATCTGTAGGATGTTTAGCTAAATGATATATAAAACAAATTCAATAAAAAGTGTTTCTTGAGTAGTAACCGCTACGACAATCCCTCCTTCCTGCTTCTCTTGGCTACTTAATACTAGTCTGTATGTATGTAACAGTGAATAAATTATAATAACACTTGTCTAAGAGGTCATACATTTCAACTGATGAAAACAGAAGAACCGTCGAATTGAACAAAATGAAACTGAACACGAATAGACTACTTCAAGAACTGAAACCTAAAATCAGCAGCTTAATTTAGTTCAAGCTGAAATAATCCAAGTGATACACAGCTTCAAGATTCTACAGTCTACGGAAGACTCACAAAACCTTTCATTCTATTGAGACTAATTATTGACTTCACCAACACACCAACATGCAACCTCTCCAAATATCTGGCTTCCGTAGCTAAACCCTTTCCAAAGCACTTAGAATATACATATAACGGGGAAAACTATGCAAGCAAACTGACAGTATTCCTATTCAAAGAAAGTGTTTTCATTCACTTACTAAAGTCAAACATTTGACTGAGATATATTGATAAGATCATCCAGTATCTACTTTAGATCAGAAAAAGGAAACGGATAAAGGGGGGAACTACATTTCATTGATTGTCTTGTTAAGCGCAAAGAAAAGGCATACTTACAGAACAACCACCTTTCTGGAAAGCAATGCATTACCTCCAGTCTTTCAAGGACAGCACATAACTCTAGTATCGGATGAAAATGAAACAGTTACAGAATTAAAATATGTGAACAAGATACTTAAAATGAATAATTATCCGGTAAAATTTGTTCTCAAAATACCCAAAACAACATTAGGTTGGATCATAAAACTCGATACACTTGTAAGTGAAGCACAACAGGCTGCAGGTAGGAGTGACCTCACAACATTTTATCAAATAACCAAGTTACTATCTTGGAGGGAAGAGATCAACATAGATGAAATCAATGAAAGATAGTCAAAGAAACTTAGAAAACGATAGGCTGACCACTTCAAAAGACTCCTGAATCCACCATCATCACCACCACCAGCCCAGCCAGCCACAAAATTACCAGTAGACACAAGCCCTCCGACAAAATCAGAAGTGAAGTCCTGAACACCATAAAGTTACTGAAAGCCAGAAAAGCAGCAGGAACAGATAGATTTTCCCCAGAAGTACTAAAAACAGGTGCAGACACAACAGTGTACATGCTCACACCACCATTGTACAAGGTTTGGAAAGAAGGAAAGGTACTTGCCGATTGATTGGAAGAAAGGCTAACTTGTCAAACTCCCAAATAAGGGCGAACAGAATATCTGCAAGAACTGGAGCACAACCATGCTCTTGTCCACTACAAGCAAAACATTGAACTAAAAGATGCGCTGCATCCGAAATTGCGAACAACACAGGTTGACTGGCTTCACGAAAAACAAATCATGTGTGCATCAAATTGCAATCCTACGCTACGCATCATCATCCATTTTGAAAAAGCCTTCGATAGTGTCGACCAACAAGTAATTTGAAAACTTACCAGAATGATAACAATAAGCAACAAGGAACTACTTCTGGCCTCGCAACGAACCAATTAAGAACCCATCACCCAACAAATATGCAGAAAAAAGTCGACATCAATAACATTAGGCATACTCTGAGAAGACCATTTAGGGACATCACGCATCACGCCAGGCCCTCCAATGCAACCCAAAGTGGAAACGACGACTTGGGCGTCCCAGGTGAGGCTGACATCGAGAACACGGTGTGAGAAAGAAATCAAGGTCTCTAGGCAGTGGTGGAGCCAGGTTGAAAAGACGGGAGAGAAGAGAGTGAAATCCCGACGTCCTACTGAAGCCCTATATCTCAATAGGAACCCAGAGGACAAATAAATCATGGACCCCAACAATAGTTATCCTGTACACACACCACACACACATCGGATGAATTTAGGAGAGTGTTCAACAAATACAATGTCATCAGAGTGTTCTACACTACACCGAACACACTCCAAACCACCTTAGTTCATTCCAAGGATGAGATCCCCCTACATTCACAATCCAAATGTGTTTATCAAATAAAACTCTCAGACTATGATACAACATACATACGATAAACGTCCCATGAAATTATAATTAGAATAAATAAACACCGAAGAGCTTCCACTCAACTAACTGCCTACAAATCCAGTGGAACTGAAAAATCCTAAAAACATATCAGCCACAGATCTACATGCGATAATTTCACTTCACAACATCAACTCATTGACAATATCGAAATTATTCAGAAAGGCAGCTCCAAAAATTATCAACAACATCTCCTAACAGAATCTCTTCACATTAACTGGAATCAAAATTGTCTAAATAGGAAAGAATGAAGGAGTAAAATGTAGCTTGACTTGGTCTCAAACCACACACCCCAAATACTGACATCACCAATTATCAATACATGTGTACAGACAAATCTCAATCTGCAATTCACACACACATACACAACATCCTACTCATGGACATCATCTTTATTCTACAACTCTGATAACACTGAATCATTCATGTAGAAGAACACTTGTCAACTTATCATAACATCAGCTTCGGGGGATACTGTAAATTACGCTTCAACAGAACTTTGATAAAACTATACACCAGCATTTTAAGCACAGCGAAACGTCAGTTTAAATTCCCATTGGAGAATACTTACACCAAATTAATGAACAACTGATATCTGTTACACAAAAGGCGGTTATCGTATGTCAATAACCTACTGGATAACCCTCTGACATTCAAACCAATGGGTACAAGGTTAGAGTCTCTCAGTGAGAACAATATCACTCACTTCAGGTATACGCACATCCAACTAGACAGTCATAAACAACAGGAAAACACCTCCGTCTCAGATTATACTCCTAACCACCATCAAGCAAATTATAACAATATGAAATATTCAGGTATTACACAAGCATCCTACTCATAGGAGCTCATCTGTCAACAGAAGTTGATCGATTCCAACAAGTATAACAAGGAACAATGATAAGTATCAATAGAACATACAACATACACAAGATTCACATAGCACTGTGACACCCTATCAAATAGATAGACATTCAGTTATACACAATCCCAGTGTAAATGATCATCGATTCAGATTACCACATTTCAAATCACCACACCAAAATAACTTCAAGTTTCTATCCATCAACTACCATTCTTCAGACGATCACAACCAACAAGAAAGTTTGAACTTTCATAAACGACTTAGATCAACAATCAAAGATTCATTGAACTGGTTACATCTACTAATTCGATTACCTCAGCTTTTTATCCAGCTCAACTATATTCTTCTAACTGTAACATCTGGCTACTGTGGTTGACTTTAGTCCTATCCAAGATTTGTTTACTAGATGAACACTACTGTAATAATTATACCACTGTATCATACAACTCAACACGGTTCATGTTTACGCAATCAGCTGAGTTTGTCATATGAGGTGTTATGATATTACCCGATGGGTTATGATGAACAAGGTGAAGTGAGAGTGGAATCTATGACTAACAAGTTGATAATCGAATGATTATGGCAATAAGCCAAATCTTTACCAGTGGTTAAAAACTCCACAATAGGAATGGTGGCAGTTCAATGTACTGTCTTCAGTCTTACATGCAACTAATTTCAGCTTCATGTAACATGTTAGACAATGGTAACGCATGCTTAACTAAATCTTCTAGATGCTTCAACTAGTCAGAGTTCATAATTTTCTTTTATGCTTCCATATACTTGAAAGTGGTTAGCAAAGAACCCTAAACATAACATTTAGGCTTCATAGGTAAAGTTAAACTGGTTGAAAAAGTGTACTGGTTTCATTAAAATCGTATTGATGACTTGTAGTTGAATCCATGACACGGGTTCCGTCTTATTTCGGACTCATCAATTGGATTTAACTGCATCTCAGTGACTGAAGTTATTTCCATTGGGACTCGGACTCAGCAACCATCGTTGTAAACGCCAAGGCGTTATCCATTAACATTGGGTAATTGTCACGCTATGTTGTGAACTGATAGGAGTTGTAGACACGGAACATTAAATTTTGACTCAGTGGCTCAAAGGTTAGGTGCTAGCCACAAAAACTGAAAGTCATGGGTTCGATTTCCGGCGGGGTCAAGGGTGTTCACTTATGAAGAGTCCCGTACTAGGACGAAACGGCTGTCCAATGTTTCTTCAACTGGTGTCAGTCCATGATGAATACCAACTTGAAAAAAGTTATCCACTAGGCCACTACGGCAGAATAAAATAGCTCGATCTCTATGGAAAGAACATCCTTTACAAGGAAACTCAACTGATGAGTCCGAAATAGGACGAAACATGAGTCGTGGATTCCAATACAAGTCATCAAGATGATTATAACACAATGAACAGTAGACAGTATTGACGTATTCACATAGAAGCCAATTTTCGAACATGGTTAGAGAAATTCAACCCTGTATATCAAACAATGTACTGATTTTAGTTATCGAAGGAATAAATTTTATC